CTACGACGCCAACAAACAAACACCGCACTGTGAAAAAGATCTGACGCCACAAATACCACAAAAATATAGAAAATAACAAATACAGTCATTTTCCATCGTTACATTCTAAGTCAACAGATTGTGTGTATGTATATTTTGGTGATTTTTTAAACCAAAGCATAATTTTCAAACCACCAGCAGATTTTGGGATTTCGAGGATGCTTCTTAAATTCTTTTAAAATGCATTTCTGATTATTTTACAATTAAATCTTGATCTTGATGGTGCCACTTTTTTTTTTGCATTACTTACGGTGAAATAGTGACGGTTGTGGTTACTAGTTTGTTACTGTTTACAGTGTTTGTAATTTACTGAACCTATTAATTATTAAATAGTGGATGATAGTATGTTACAGTAGAACAGGGTTTAATATTTGAGGTTAGGGTTATACATCATAATTAAAACGGTACCTAGACTTTCCAATAATAAAGTGTATTTATACACTGTTATTAAAATTAATTGCAAACATAGCTGCGTGTCTTTAATCTATTATTATCCAACGGCAGCAATTTCTAATAAAATGTAGTCTAATGAATATATTTTACAAATCAAGAAAAAACTATTTAATTCAATGTAAGAAGCTATTATTATTATTATTATTATTATTATAACAGCTTTTAATTGTATTTTGGAAAATAGTACACTGTTAGAATTTGTCTGTAATTTCATAGTAATTTATTACAGTGTGGATGAAAAATATGTTTCTCTGGCATTACTATTTATATTTAATGACATTAAATAACATTTAATGAGAAAACTTCTTGCTTAAAGATATACTTTTTATTCATTTTATTTAACCTTTATTTTACCAGGTGAGTTAGTTGAGAACTCGTGTTCAATAGCGACCTGGTACACACTGATATAAACACATTTAATAAACATATTTCTACAAAAAAATATCTCAAATTTATATGAATATATGGAACACATATCTTTTTATGTTCATCGCCACTATTTTTTTAAAATCTAATTTTACAAATCTAGTGATAGCATTAAAACTGAATTCAACAGCTTCATGTCGTAACTAAAAAGCAAATATTTGTGGAATTACAATAAATGTATTTTAATATTGTTTTTACATCAAAAAAATTAATTTATTTTAAAGTGTTTACATTTGATGCTTCTATTTAAACATTTTACAATAGAGGCATAGAATTTACAATCTAATTTTGTAATTTTTCATATTTTTTTTTAATCATTTAATATCTGTCACATAAAAAGGATAAATTATATAAAATGTCATATTTGCTTTGGTGTATTCATTTGTCGTGTCTCAGCTCTTTAAAGTCACTGAACCCTGTGGACTTGTTTACATATTCTGGCCCTGCACGGTGCCACAGATCCAGATTTTAGGTGCATGACTGGGTTCTGATGGGACATTGGAGAGTTTATGTGTTGGGTCACTGTACCAACTGATTAGGCGGAACAGAACCAGAACTATTTATCCAGGTTTGTGTGACTGTGTCCATAAACGGGATCAGCTCACTGCATTGATGCTTATCGCAGCAGTGATGGAACGAAAACGGTTTTGCAACAACAGATTAGAAGCCAAAACAGCTGACACACACATCGGTGACCTCTGCAACAGGATGTACTGTATATTTATACAGCTTTGTGTATTTTATGACTTGTTGGTGCAGTGAGCAAACTATGTCATCCCCTTCAGGGTTCATGGATGCTCTACTTTACAAAGGATGAAGGGAAATACTGTGGATTTAAGAAGATGCTACACATGCAATGGTGTCACATTAGACACACAAATTAGAAATCCATGTGTTTGCAAATACAGGACAAACTGTTTTCTGCACATTTTAATATTTGTATGTTAAAAGGCCACTGAGTCAACATCCCTAACTTAAGCCAGTCCTCAGCAGATATAAGCGCGAGGCAGCCGAACGACTTCCAGGGTAAAAGGAATCAAGTAAAATGCAGGAAAACGGTAATTTAAGAACAACTATATAAGAAATGAAACCTAAACAAGACAGGATGGCAGCTGCAGACATGAAGTTTTTTTATGTCAACAAATTTTAGCCGATTTTGGTGAAGCAGCGTTCTATCAGGCACCGTGGTCAGTCGTGGAATAACCTTCAAAAAAACTCTTAAACTAGAAACATTCACGTGCATTAATGAGTTTAAAGAGTACAGTTCTTGAGAGGCCACTGTGCTTGAATGGCTATCGGTCTGTTTTATTGTTTTACTGCTCATTATTCATTTGTGTGTCTGTCCTATATTAGATTTTTGATTCTGTATGGCCGAGATTTCTAATCTCAGTGGGACTTCCTGGTCTAATAAAGATAAATAAATACATAGATAAGCTTTGGGACGTGTTCAACCAAACAGACGTGCAATTAAAGTGGTTGTCTTGCTACTCGTCTAGCAATTAGTTAATCCAAATCAAATGTTTGCTCTGTGAAAAAGACACATCTGTTATCGGGCTGGTGCCAAACGCAGCGACAACAACTATTAAAGTGCGTCACCGGCTCATGTAGATGCTCCTTTGACCTGGAAATTCACTTCCATGAAGCTCAGGTGACAAAACAACACCTCTGGTTCCACCGAAGTTCGGCCCTGCAGGCAAAACAAGCACACGACTCATCGCTGTTGTGCTCAACAGCCCACACATGTGCATCTTCAAACACGGGAGCGGCCGCAGGTTTCAATGTGTTTCTGCTCACAAAAGAGGCACCGCAAAGTGACTAAAAGTGAATTTTTGTCCGTCGTGTTGGTTATCTTTGTGTGCTACTGTACTTTGACTTGGGCGGCTGCTGACTTCATCCAGCAGGAATCTCTTCCAGTGAAGCCGATCGCCCTTAAAGATTAACTAAAGCAGGTCAGGAATCTGCAACTTATCCTGCAGTTGGAGGAAAACCAAGTGTGTTTCTATCCTCGTGTGACAGGGAAACGCCAACAAATCAAACACAATCAGAGGTTGTGTGTTCTACGGAGCACCTAACAGCAAGAATTTCTAATTTGCAAAATAAGTTTTATGTTGCAATAGTTTTTTGAATTCCCGGGTCATTCCACTGGGTCACCTCGTAAATCATAAAATTTTACGATACCTCGCAAGAACGTTTATGCTCTTGCAAAAACTTTTTACAAAACATCGCAATAGTTTTTGCAAAACATCGTCTTTTTACTGCATCTATCGCTTTAAGCTTTGATCCCGCACATTATCTTTTGCATTGTCTCGCAACCGACCGTGTTTCTTTACAATAACTTTTGGGTTATCTCGCACTGCACTCGCGTTCCTTCGCAGTAATTTTACTTTGCAGCAACTGTTCTGTTCTCTTTCGTGTTCCCTCACAATTAGCAATAACTGCCCCTGGAAATAACTTTTGCATTACCTCATGATAATTTTAGTGTTCTGTCGCAATACTTCAACGTTTTTGCAGTAACTTTTGCGATATCTCATAGGACCTTTTGCATTCCGTGGCAATACTTTTGCGCTACCTTGCAATAACGTTCATGTTCTCCTGCATGTTCCCTCACAGTAGTTAAGCGTCCTCTCACAATAACTTTTATGAAACCTCGCATTTATTTTTCTGATTCTGTTGCAATGCTTTTGCAAACCATCGTCATGTTACTGCATTCCATCGCTTTGAGTTTTGATACCTTATAGTATCTTTTGCGTTCTCTCGCAACTGATCGTGTTTCCTCACAATAACTTTTGAGTTACCTCGCATTTGCGTTCCTTCGCATTCAATTTGGCAATAACTTTTGTGTTTAGCTGGCCCTGTAAATAGCTTTTGCATTACCTTTTAGTTTTAGTGTTCCGTCACAATACTTCAACGTTCTTTACAATAATTTTTCTGATACCTCACAGGACCTTTTCCATGCTGTAGCAATACTTCTGCACTACCTTGCAATAACTTTCATGTTCTCTTGCAATACTTCTGCGTTACCTCACAATAATTTAGCTTCTACTCGCAATAACTTTTCCTTCACACAGCAATTTTTGTGTTCAATACTTTAGCAAACTATTGTCATTTTATTGTATTCTATCACTTCAAGTTTTCAAACCTCACAGTATCTTTTGCATTCCCTTGCGTTTGTGTTCTCTTGCAATAGTCGTGTCACATTAACTTTTGCTTGCCGTTGCAATATTCCTGTGTTACTGTGCACTACTTTTAATTTGCAATAACTTCTATGTTCTTCTGCAATACATTTGTCTTCCCTCACAAAAGTTTAGTGTCGCCTCAAAATAATTTTTGCATTTTGTCGCAATACTTTTTGCGTTCCTTCCCAATGGCTAAAGTGTTCCCTCACAGTTGTTTAGGTGAAAACAGCTTTTGCGTAACTTTGCAATACCTTTAGTATTCTGTTGCAATACTTTGTGTTCCGTCGCAATACAGTTGTGTTCTGTCCCAAAACTTTTACATTCCTTTGCAATTATTTTTGTGAAACCCGACAACTTTTGCTTTCCGTTGCTTTTGCAGTAACTATTGCATTACCTAGCTACAGTTTAGTGTTTATCGCAATAACTTTTGCATTACCTCACAATGATTTAAATGTTCCATCACAATACTTTTACGTTCCTTTGCAATTATTTTTCTGATACCCGATAGTCAGTTTTGCATTTCATCGCGGCAACTTTTGCTTTCCGTTGCAATACTTTGTGTTCCCTAACAATAGTTTAGTGTCCATCGCAATATCTTTTGCGCTTCCTTGCTATAAATTTTGATACCTCACAATGCGTTTTGCATTAACTCGCAATCATTTTTGCCTCCATCGCAATATTTTGTGTTACCTCAGAATACTTTTGCATTCCCTCGCAATGCTTCTTCGTTCACTTGTAATGCGCCTCACAACGCTAGCGTGTTGGTCAAGTTTAGTAACAAGAACGGTGCTGCAAGATAATGCAAAAGTGGTCTTCAATTTCCGCCTGACGTTTAGGAGTCTCTGTGGTAACCATTAACAGTAAAATGACAACAATCTGTGATTACGACAAGACAAAGACAAGTCATCAATTTAACTTAATATATTTATTGTAACTAAATTATTGTGTAATAGAAAAACAGATCTATTTTCTTCAGTACAGTCGGTGTGATTTCCTTCCAGTCAACGATTACATCATATACTGACGTAAATTAAATTTAACATCTTTTTACTAACAAATCATATTCAGTATCATTTGAACAAACATTACATTAAAGGAAAATGTATTACAACTTCAACTGATTGCTCAAAGTGTTTACAAAAATCAGCTCTGGAAAAATCTACAAATGTTAAATACATTTTACAAAAAAAAAATCATTCTTACAAGAAGTCAATTACAAATTATCTCTGAACATTTTTAAGGCATTGAAATGATAGATTTTACCAACTTAACATACAGGAATGCATAGAAATTGCGCAGCTTCTAGAAATATTTTGAAGTGTCACGTCGACAGAAGACCTTTTGGCCATTCATTTGATTTTAAAGGTCCAAAAACGACCAGTCAGTCATGTTTTGAGCAGACAGCTCACTTATAAACCACAAAAAACAACTCGTACAGTCATCAGGAAACTGCTGAAAATACAGAAAATATAGACTTACCAGGCAAGTCTAAAGGAATCCTTTAGTGAAACATGAACTTTCCAACACATTTGTAGGATTTAACATTAGTTTGGAAGCAGAACTTAAAAAAAAATAAAAAATTTAGATGCTATTTTTGTGCTCCATTACTGTATAATTCAGCATATTTGTCTCTTATTATGTGACATTAAAGACTGGACGGTGCAGTAAACTCTTGTCCCAAACTACCCTCAGGGACGGGACGTATTCCACGGCTACAAATACACACAAAAATATAGATTTTAGTTTTTGTTTTCAGTGAACAAACTCCAGATTTCATTCAGTAGGAGCTCTGCAGTGCTTCAACCGATGTTAGTGACAGTGTTAACGATGAAATGCGATATTGTTTGCAGTATTACCGGTCCAGCAGTTCTCTTGAATTTCGATGCAGTGCGTGTTAAAGAAGTCACAGGTTCAGTCGGGTGTTGACAGAGGAAACCAAGCGTGTAAACCGTCGACACCAGGGAACGATGAGAATATTATAGTGATTATGTTTTTCACAGAAGTGCTTGACCCTGAAATGGTCCGACAGTGAATTTGTACCACAAGAGTGTAAGAGGTATATCCTACTTATGTTATTTTCTGGAAGCTGCACTAGCCCGTAGTGTAGTGCCTCATGATATTTAGTGTACCAAGTGCATGATGTGGATTTGTCAGTTTAATTAGCGTCAAAACTCGTTTATATTACATCAGATCTTATCTAAAGTACCAAATATCACAGTGTAGAAATGCTCTGTTCCAAGTGAAAGTCCTGCATTCAACAGCAAAAGCACCAAAAGTACTCTTTAAGCAGAATGGTCCATATAAGAATCACGTATATGGATTATAATTATTGATGCACTGATGCTGTGCTGGTAAAGGTGAGTATTTTGTAAATTTTAGTCTGTATGGGGATCAATAAAGTTTTATTTTAACCTCATAATGAGGTGCAATCTTTTGGATTGTTAATCTGAATACGCGTAAATGTAGCAGAGCAACAGGTACAGTATGTTCCTCTGAACTGTCATGTTTTAGTTTCTCTTTCTTTCTCTTGTTTATCAGCTGCATTTTTCTACATTTTGGCAGTTTTACTTTGACTCTTTTATTGAAGCAGGAACCTTTAACCAGCTGTGAAAAAACAAAAACACGACGCTGCCAGTGTTTCGAGACCAATTAAACGCTTTCGTTCTTACAGCTGTACCGTGGAGAGCATCTGTGAATATCGTAGACTTGGAGGAAATTCCCTGAAACGCTGAGGATGTGTTTGTTTCCTTCCATTCACTCTGCTGTGGAAAATCAGTCCCCTGTTAACCTCAGCGTGGGATCTACCTCCCAGACCCTCCCTCATTGTCTGCGCTGCATACCGTTCTGCCTTTTTGGCTTCGCTCCCGGCCTACAGAGCGGCCCACTTCCCTCCGGCGTCGCCCGGCTTCAGCACGAGCTGGTCTGCAGGTTGCTCTCGGTGAGGATGGAGGTGATGGCGGAGGAATCGTACAGGCTGTCGTTGTCGTCGTCGTCCGAGCTCAGGGCCGATGAATCCAAAGCGGGACGCATCGCTGCCTGAGCTTTCCTCCTGAGAGACAAAATAAACCATCTTTACATCCACCAATCAGGTTCACGGTTATTATCAGAGAATATGTTCACATATTCTCGTCCTACCAAGTGTTTTAAACCTCTGAACTCTACAAAAAAAAAAGCCAAAATGACACTATTTATCAAAACAAACCTGCAACTCATCCGTAACGTGTCATTCCAACGACAGAACTCGAAATATTTCACCAAGAACACTTTATTCTACGCGTCGTCTAAGATTCTAGAAGCTTCAAAAAGACTCGTGCACACTTTCTAACTTGCAGAATTTGTGACTTAACTTCTTTTTTTTTGGTCTAATGAAGGTCTAGCACTGAAAAGTTGTAATAAATGAATTTTTGTAAGTCTTTTTGAAACTTTTGGATATGCTTGTCCATCTCCTCTGCACCTTTTTCATTATATAGATGTGCAAAAAACCGTCTGCACTGTAAAGTCCTTGAAGCTATCTTTACAAAAAAAATAAAATAAAAATCATCAAATATTTAACTTTCGCACTGATTACTAACATGTACGTTGGGAAACATACCTCAATTTAAGCTTAACTTCATGATATTTAATCTACAATCGCTTTATTCCACATATCTGGTTTTAAACTTTGCTGAAAACAAACTGTTTGAACTATTTAGATTTTGTAAAAACCTAAAAATTCTGCTGTTCTTGGCTAAACTGTGAAGCCAGGAGTGACTCAGCTGCAGCCACCAGCTACAGGACAAAAAGTTTTCAGCTGAACTGCAGGCGGTGTTTACACAGAGCACAGAGGAGACGACAAGAGAGACTGGGACAGGAAGAAAACATATTTCAGCAATAAAATAATCGCAGCGTGGCTCAACAACAGCATGCAGGAGATAGTTGTCAGCAAAGTTGTTGAAAGATACATTCAATGTGTTGAAATAGCTGTCTGAGCTCGATGTGCAGAGAAATAAAGTTACGTTTTAAAAGACAGATGAAAACAGGCTAAAGTCATCAGTCATAGAATATGAGTAAATCAAATACTTTAAAAAACTATCACTCTGAACCCCGCCGGCAAAATAAATAAACCACACTGTTTAATCAAAGCCAGAAAGTGTTGAAACAGGAGAGTGCACTGGATTTTCAATTTTCTTGAACTAACCATGTGTGACATGCGGGAAAGTTAATCAAATCGCAGCTTCAAATCTGAATATTTCATCCAGATCACTTTATTCTGCATTTCTCATTAAACCTGTAACACCAAGTGGATCATATTTGATTCATGAGTTTCTGAGACCTCCACATCATCTACACACTCAGACACATGCAGCGCACAGATAATCCACCATGGATCCGTAATTCATGCAACAACAAAGCCGATTGTAACAATATATGCAAATTTAAATAAAATTCTTATTATTTTTAATTTGTCAGAAGCTTCAATTAACACTCCGGCTTCAAAAAATGTCAATTTTCTGTCAATTATGTCATGGTTCAGGCTTCACAGGGTTGAAAAATCGCCAAAAATAACAAGATTTGGTAAAAAACTACAAATTTTGCAACCAAAAAGCCACGACTGACGAAGCTGTGGTGAGACAACACTTCAGGCTGTGTTTACAAAGACGACATATGGGAGGAGTAGAATTTCTCCGGCATTATAACTGTGTCACACTGCACAGAAAGCATCTCTGACTCTCTCTCCTTCTACTCCTGGTTGTCCTGTTTCCATACAGGTGCAGGACTTTATGCTGCAGTAAACAAATGAGCCACACTGAGTAAAACTGTGGATCAAGCTGAGAGCGCTGGTGGTCATAGTGCTCCCTCTGCTGGACCGACGAGGGAACAACGTGCCTTTGTTCTGTGCCAGTAGGAGCATGTTTGTAATTTAATTTCCCCCGTGGTACATGAGTAATGTACCGTTGCAGGTTAATGAAATACCTCTTTCACACGTGGCTGGTCTCTGGTATGTTTTACACACATCACACTGTGAAATACTGCACCTCAGGGACGCCGAGCGAGTCTCTACCAGGTGTCTCTGTCGGCGCATCACGGCCCAGGAATCCGATAATGGCGTCATTTACATGCAGTTTTATTCACTCGGCGACACAAAGGAGGAGGAGATGGTGTCTCTCTCCGTTGCTCACTGTTGTAATCTGGCTGCCGGGAAAGTTTCTTGCGTAATCTAGAGCTCGCGGTGAGTAACGAAGTGGAAGAGGGACAAAGCGAACACACAAAGACGAGGATGCGCTTACTTGAGCTCCGTCTCCAGAGCCGAGACTCGGGCCTGCAAGGCTTCCTTGAGCTCCATCTGCTCCTCCATGTCTCTCTGAGCTTTCCTCCTCAGGCCGTCGATCCTCTCCAGCTCAGTCTCGCCTTCGTCCACCTGCCTCTTCAGGGCCTTCACTCTCAGAGAAAGCTGCGACGCAACACAGGGTTTAAATGTGCCGATTAAGAGTCGGGTAAAGATCCATGTTTATACACAGCGCCTGGTGAACGTTCATACCTGGTCTCTCTGCTCGCTGTGTGTGTGCCTCTCCTCATCCAGCGTCATGTTGAGGTCTTTCAGCTTCCTCTCCAGTCGACGCTGCGACGCCAACATCGTGCTTTTCTCTCTGAAAATCAGAAACAGAAAGCTTGTTAATGAGCTGCTGTCAAGAAACAGTGAAGCCCAAATTTTGATTTATAGTGATTTTTATTTCACCTATAGGAGTCTTCTGGCTGGAAATGACATAAAAAGTGACAAAAGACGAGAAGACATCATGTTACAGATGTTAATGATGAATTTTAACTATTTCTATGTTTTTTTGGGGGTCCTTGGGTTCTTCTTGGCCTCCACCATTCTTCCAGTGCAGGGCTCACATCTGTCCTCCTGCAGCACTTTGACATGTTCCACAGTGAGGAACTCCTTGGATTTCTTCATGATGCTTCAAACTATGAACACTGGGCCTTAAAAACACTTTGATATGACTTTACAGCCTTTAAACATCTTGTGAGCAGCTGGTCGATGTCACAACATTGAAATTTTCTACACCTCACAAATCTAGAATAAGTTGGCCTTTAATTAGCCTTTAAAACATACTGTGAAGAATTTCTGTCAAGAATTATCTCACAGTAAGCGTCTATACCACATTTTAAACTCCAGATCTATTTAGAATGTCTAAATAGCCGATGATAATGAATGTAAATTAAAAATATACGTGAAACATGGCCTGCACAGTTTCACAGTGAAACAAGATTCTCCTTTTCCTTTGACCCACACTGGTGGATCTAAAATCCATCTCAGTGGTCAAATTTGACCTAAAACAGCCTCAGTGTGCACAAATTTGTAGCATCTGTACAAAAGTATAAGCTTTTAAAATATTTAGTGTATTTGTGCATTTTTGTGTATTTTGCGGCACTTTAGGAAAAGTCGTCAAATTTCAGGCTAAAAAAAACCCAAGACGTTTAGGATGTTTTTACTGCTGTTAAAGGTCAAAACAGGTCAAATTTGACCCAAACAGTATGTAAGGGTTAAGATGATTTAAAATATCGTGAATAATAATGATAACTTCATCCGTATTGCACTTTTTAAAACAAAGAGCGCTCTAGAAACATTTGGAAAAATATAAATTGCTGAATTTTCTTTAAAATTTGGACAAATTTTGGACAAATTGTGGAGAAAAAACCCCCCAAATAGTTAAAATTCATCTTTAACGTCTCTGTTGTCACTTGTTTATGTTGTTTTCAGCCACAAGAAACCTGCTGGTCAAATAAAAATTCACTGTAAAACTATAAACTTTACTATTTATGGCTTTGAATAATGTGGAGCTTAACTAGATGCATAACCTTAAACTCTCTTTGGTTTGATGGACATGAAGCCTAAATAAAGATTAAGACGTTGGGTAAAACCAAACCAGACTTAATTTTCCTGAAAACATTCTCCCTCTAATTCAAGCTCTAAGTTGCAGAAAAAATGTACCACACAAAAAAAATTAAATATTCTTTATCTGCTGAATTTTATGGGATCATATCTAAAAACGTTCATGTGTCAAACTAACAGGGTGAAGAAATGCGACCCAGACTGTAGATCTACTGGAGTGCAGCGTGTTTCCTGTCTGTATTTGTTCCACTGTACCTGTCTTCAGCACGCAGACGATCCTCCAGCTCCTGGACTTTGTTCTCCAGCTGTGAGACTCCGGCCGAGGACCGAGATTGGCCCTCCATGTCGGCGACTCGACTCCTCAACTCCTTCAGCTGCAGGAGCAAACAGACATTCAAACAAGACTTACAACACACTCGGTACATGTTTCTAAGGATATAAAAGTCAAAGCACAGCATCACAGACGGACGTACGTGTCTCTCCATGGCGTTCTTGTCCAGCTCCAGGTCCTGTTTGGAGGATCTCTCCTGCATGAGCTCAGAGCGAAGCTGATCGATCTGGTCTCGGCTCCTGGCCACTCGGTCCGTCATCATCTCTGCGCTGCTCTTCTCCTCCTCCAGCTCCAGCTCCAAACGCTTCAGCTTGTCCTGACAGACACAAGAACACATCGGTTTAATCGGCTCGGAGGAGAGATCATGTTCCATCACATACAGTCTAATAAATAGGCCAAAGAACTCATCTTTAGCCCTCAGAGGGGGTGAAAGACATGAAACTTAATGTTTAAACATCACCAGAATTATCCAAACTACATTAGAAACTGTAACAACTGAAGTTTTCAACTGTCTTTAAACATGGCATGTGTGAAAAACGACCAAATCTGAGCTTAAAATCATGATATTTTATCCTAATTACAATATTCTACAAGCCTCGTTTTTAAAAAAAAAATTGCACAAGATTTAAAAAAAAAACCCAAAATACTCTTCATTCCTCAGCGTAACTTAAAAACCACAACAAAGTCATGTGGGAACAACAGTCATTATCAGTGTTAATGTGAAAAACGATCCGGTTGTAAACATTTAAGTGGTAAAATACTATTTTCTAACACATCTGTGTTTTTTTTTTTTTGCAGCGTGGGACTTTGTTTTGGTTTATTCTCTGAAAGCAGCCGGCGAACAGACGAGCGTCTCACCTCCAGGATGCGAACCTCCCGGCTTTTCTCGTTGAGGCTGTTCTTGCCGGTTTCGACTTCTCCTTCGAGGTGTCGCAGTCTGTTGGTGAGGAGCTCTTTATCCAGCTGGTGGTTGTCTCTCTCCTCGCAAACCAGCAGCAGCTCCTTCTTCTGTCGTGACATCTGGTGAGATTTAACACAATATTAGAAACATTCGACGTTATTGATATCACACGCCAAAAACTACTGGAGGCATTCAGAGCTGGGACATGTTCCAGGAAGCACCTGATTTTAATGAATCGAACAAACTAGTGGGGGTTAAGTGGATCGAGTCAAGTTCACACAATCAGGCTAATTTAATACAGGATCAAATAATCAAAGTAACTGCTTGTTTTCAGGTCAAACATGGATCAAATCGATCCACCGGCAGCAACCTCATAAGGTCATACAGCTGCCAGAAACACAATCAGAGAGAAAGAAAGGCTTCAAAAACTGCTGCTTAATCGAACTCAAGAAGCAGCTAAGTTGAAATGTAATAAACTATTTGGATGCAACCCGATTAAAGCTGCTGCGATTTTGCAGAAATATTCAGTAAAATATTGACAGTGTGCAATTATCGTCATGCATTTATGTTTCTCCCTCATCGGGGATCGAGCATGAAACGAGGATATTATTGATGTAAATGAGGTCAATTAATCAATAATTCACTTTAACTAGGATACCAGCGGGCCTGCTGCTTCTGCCATCACAATATCATCAATAAAATATTTAGTTATTGAACGTTACATAAAATTTCAAGCAGCCAGCAGCAGCAGCAGCAGCAGCTACTGTTTGTGGGCTTTCTCATCCTTATTATTCATATTCTTGATTATAGGAATAACGATAAATCAAATTACAATGTTTCTGACCACGAAAAGGTGGAAAAATTCTCTTAAATCATGGTCATATAGCCATTTCTGTTGGTGTTATCAATCTATTTGGGTAACTGAGATGGAGAATTATTTAATGCAGCATAAAACTGAACATGTATGTAGGTCTGCATCTCAGCATTTACTAATATCATGTAGTTTATTTAAGTAAACCTTCTTTAAACTTTATATTCTTGGACTGATAATAGTTAATGCAGTTAAATATCACCGTCGTCTTACTTAGCCAGCAATTCTGTGCTATGTAACGATCTGGTTCTACTTTACTACAACTCTGCCGTAGCGGTTTGTGTTTGTTTAAACTGATAATCTGGGGCAGTGAAGCAAAGGATGCAGCTTCTGTGTTCAATTTAAATGGTGTCAGGTAGAATTGTTTTGGTGGAACACAAATGGAACAGTCAGTAAAATAAATCATCTTTTTTTATTAAGTCAGAAACGCTGGTTCAACAACTCAGGCTTAGTCTGACAGATAGCCTGATCTGTTTCCAGAGTAACTGAGCTTAAATTATGTTTAACTAGTTTTATGGATCTAAAATCAACTAAAAGACTAGCTGGAGAAAGCCTGGCTTATTTGGTAAAGTCGCTTCATGAAACAGGTGCCACACACGTGATTTTCAAAATAAAACCACCCACTTCTTCCTCCAGCCTCCTCAGACTAATGTTGGTTCTTTCCAGCTCCGACTGAGCGTCGTTTCCATGCCGTTGCGCCTCCTGCATTTCCTTGCGTGCCCTCTCCCTCTGCTCCTCCAGCTGAACCCTGAGAACCTGCGTCTCCTCTCTGGAGGAGGCGTTCAGAGAATCACACTGACGGGACGAAACACAAAAAAGAGATTTAATTTTTTGTGTGTGTGTGCAGCGTATTCTCCGGTGAGGTCGACCCGGTCTCACCTCCTTGGTGAGCTTCTCCAGACTTCTCTCCTGCTGACGTTTGGTCTCCTCCAGCTGGCTGACAGTCTGTTTGAGCGTGTCCTTGTCCTTCTCTGACTCCTCCAGACGCCGGCTGAGCTCGCGTTGCTCCTGATTCGCTCTGGAAGCTTTCCTCTTGGCCTCGTCCAGCTCAGACCTCAGACCTCTGACCTCGGCGTGGAGGGCGAGCTCCGCCTCCGAGCTCTCCGTGGCGTTGGTCTGCAGCTGCGCCTGAATGAACCACAGGGGAGATCCAGTTATGCTCGAATGCTTTCAGGATATCTATCTCACTGTGGCGGATGGAACGTTACCTCTAATCTGGAGAGCTTCTCTTTGAGACGAGCGTTGGCCTCCTCCTGCTCCTGCTGGGCGTCTTGCAGAGAATTCAAGTCTATCTGAGCTCTACTCAGACGTGTTTTGCTGGACTCCAGCTCGTCTTCAGCCGACGAGAGTTTCTCTTTGAGCTGGCGAGCTTCACTTTGTGCATCTCCAAGCTTCTGCTCCAGCTCTGTGATGGTGGCTGGGTCTGGGAGCTACAAGGAGCAGGACACACTTACTAGTGATTTAAACACAAACCTAATCATGCAAACAATCTCAGAACTACTATATGTCCATCGCACTGGCGATTTACTGTTTAGCACTATGCAGAATTTTGATTTATAGTGAATTATTTTTCACCAATAGGTTTCTTTGGCCTGGAAATGACAAAAATAAGTGACAAATGAGGGTAAGACACTGTGGTAAGGATGTTAATGAACAAATTTAATGTGTATTTATATTTTGATGAACTAATTTTGTTCATCCTCTTTCGATTTATAGTGAATTATTCTTTGATTAAAATTTTTTTTCAGGCTGGAAGCTGCATAAACAAGGAACCAAAAGGTGGAGACATGCAGAAAGACTGTTAGCAACGAAAACAACTTTGATTACAGGGAAAGAATATATATAGTTTTCAACATGTAAATAGTTAAAAGTCATCAGTAGCTTCTCTAACAGTGTCTTACTGTCTTTTGTCACTTGTTTATGTCATTTCCAGCCAAAAGAAACCTGTTGGTTCATAAAAAAATCACTATCAAGCAAAATTTGACATGGGTATGAATAATAAAAAAAACTATCTCTTAAGGATGCTCGAGCGCTTCACTGTGAGATTAAACCAACCCGTTTGTTTTTCTCTTGTGCCTTGCTGAAGTCATCCTTGGCTCGCTGTAGCTGGTCCTTGAGCCGGTCAATTTCGTACTTCAGTTCAGCCTCCTGGTCCTGGTGAGACTTCTTTATGGAGATGACCTCCATGATCTTCTTGTCGTACTCTGTCCTCTGCTTCTCCAAATCAGATCTGGTCTTCTGCAGGTCGGCGTTGCATCGCTGCAGCTCCTGAACAGAAACAGTTTGCTAGTTTAACTTTCAGCTGGTCATTCCCCAGCGCAACAGTGATTACTTGTAATTCTCTGTATGTTTACTGCACCTGGTTGAGAGTCTGCGTGTGGCTGGGATCTGGCATCTGCTGCTTCATGGTGCTCACTTTATCCCGGACCTCCTTCAGCTCCTCCTCAAACTCCTCTTTCTCTAGACGGGTTTGCAGGAGTCTGGGAAACGTGTGCAAACATCCAATCTCAATAAATCATACCATTTTAAATGATCTGAAACACTACATCTTAATCTGATCAACAGCAGCTGGGTTGTATATTTGATTGAGGATATTGTACTCAATGAGCAAATGTGTGATTATTTCATCTTTAAACAGCACAACATGAATCAGCGTTCTCTGCTAACACATCACAGTCAGATACATGAACAGGAAAAACAAACACAATATGTTTTTGACTAACACAAACACAAATATAAGACCATCCACACCATTCACCTGCAGCATAATGGGCTCTTCGTAACCCTCTGAAACTCCAGCAGGTTTTCTTTTTCTTTTTTTAAAAAAGGGTCAAAATCACACCATTTATGAGACAGATACTATAAAAAACAGTAAGAATCATCCTTCAACCAAACATCTGTGCCGTTTGGTTGAGAGGAATAAAACAGTGATATTTACCAAAATTCTGTTAAAAAAATAAATAGTTTGATCCAACCAGATTCCATAAAAAATAAAAAAAACTGTATGTTTCTTGAGGTAACTGGGAAACTACTAGTGACTCAGCTGTAACCAACAGTCACCTGACAGAAATTCAGGGACTTTTGGGCTGAACTGCAGGTTGTTTACACGAAATAGAGAGGAGAAAAGTGTGGAAACAAGTGAAATAGTTGAAGTAGTAAAGTATCTATAGTATGTAGAGCTGCCATTTTTTCCAAAAAAAATTGGTCACACCTGTGGGCACTTAGAAAAATGTTGTATATGTTGATTTCAGGTTTTTCCAACTTTTGTAAAACACATAATCAAAGAAATGTAACTATTATTGTTTGTTTTTGTCTGATGCACAGAATTATAATTGTGTTGTGCTACACAAACAACATGTTTAAGGTTCCCTCTCCTTCTTGTCGTGGTTGTGCTGTTTCCTCAGAGGTGCAGGACTTTATATTGCAGTGAGTGAAAATGTGTCAGGAACTGCTTGGCGTCCAGAGGGTTAAACAGATTGTTCACAGTGAATAAAACCACCGTGAAGAATGTAAAAATACAATTTCCTGAAGCTTCAGACTGTGACTGGTGTTCAGCCTTTCTGCTCAGCCACATTCAGTCGCAAGCAGAACTTTACACCTGAATTAAAAGTCGTACATCAGGCGAATGGAGTGTGAATGGCCTTGACGCTACGGGTGAGACGGCACAGTTAGCCACATCTACAGCTCTGCTCATCTAGACACAAATGCTGCTTAATTAGTGACTCTCACTGTGTTTCAGGGTTGCTGGGTGGCTCTCTGACAGAAACATTTACCGGGCACAATGAGAGAGAAAAAACACATTAGCAGTAAAGTGGATGCAAAGAGAAACTGTGAAAAGACGATGACCATGTCAGGGTAAAAGCCGGGTAGGTAATGAATGAATAAACCTTGTGATGATTCGGTTTGACGGTCTACAGACTCACTCTTGTTTAGCCGTTCGCAGCTCATCTCTGGTGGTGTGAAACTGCTCCATCCAGTGGCTGCTCTCATCTCGACAGTCCTCCAGCTGCTGCTGCAGAGTGCGAACCGATGCATTCACACGCAGCCGCTCGGCCTCGATCCCCGCGTGAGACTGAAGCAAGACAAGGAGTTACTGAGGTTGCGTCGTATTATAGTCTTAGCATTTCACAATGTGTATTTGGTCATTTGTGCTGTTTATCGCATTTGAAATGGTTCCTATATTCAAAGAAACTGTGTGAGAAATGCTACCAGATAGAATAGTGGTTAATGTGACTACATGTAGTCTTAGATTGAAGAGACGAATACATGTGAAGTTTCTTCCTTCATGCAACCCGATTTCAAAATCTGAAGAGATTTTAAAACATCTGCAGTTCCTAATGCAACGTTGGAATTTAACCGAGTCATCAAGAATCTTATCCAACTGAATGAAACCAACCGATTACTTAATTGAAGCACAACTAAATTTGAAGATCAGCAGCGATATCCAGAGCCCAGCCCAATTTGCAAAACTGTATGTTGGCAACGTTTACGCAAACAGTAAGTAATGGCAAAATGCTTTCGTGAAACAGGCCACTGGCTCTACCAAATACACATACCGTAATTTCTGGACTATAAGCCGCTACTTTGACAGTGCCATTGAGAGTGACAACGAAAGAGAGACTGAGGAAGTGTGTGACGAAGTAATTCTGAGGCTGTTCAGTTCCGACACTGAAGAAGACGACTTTAGTGGTTTTAGTGCAGGAGGAAGATGAAGATAGCGATCAATGACTTTTCCTGGTAGGCTGCTGTAGTTTTTTTATTTTCTTAACCAGCCGTGTTACAGGCACTGTTCAGAAAAAAGCATTTACAGTACGTATTTAATTAAAAGTTTATAAAATCTTTCTATGTAAATATCTCATGTTCCAACGTGGACACCTGCAGCTTATAGACAAGTGCAGCCTGTATATGTACAAAACTTGTTTTCTTTTTAAAGTTAGTCTGTGTGGCTTATATTCAGCTCAATAGTCCAGAAATTACGGTATATTGCCACTGCAAAGACAGAAACTTGGAAGTTTGTGTTTAACTTTTTTAGAACTTTATGTAAAGCACGAGTGACGTTCAGGTGTTTTCAGCGAGCGCGTGCTCACCTGAGACACCTGCTCCATGCTGCCGCGGAGCTTCTCCATGTCGACGCTGTACTGCTCTCGGAGGGCCTCGATCTCTTTGTCGTGAGACGCCACCTCTTCCTTCAGAGCGCCTTTCAACGCTGTGAGCTCCCTCTCTCGCTGCCTCAGCGTCTCCTCCAGCTTCTGCTTCAGCTGGCAGACCTCCATCAGCTGCGTTTGACAGGACATCAGGTCCTGCACACACACAAGGAAAATGCACTTTTAACTTCACGTGTGCCATTTATTTAGTCTCAGAGCTGCACATGAGGCGCGACAATACAATAAAAGCTCTGAAAACAGCAGAAAACCCTCCTCACAAGGAAGCATTTCTGCTCTCTTGCAGGATGATTTTCTGCTCATGGATGCTCTTCTGTGAGCTTGCATCATGTGCACACTTTTGAGGGTTTATGTGCACAAGTTTTAGGTCTAATTACCCCTCTGAACCCCAAAACTGTAGACAGAAGTACATGTTTTGTTTTTGAAATAACCAAAATTACACGCTTAATCAGAGGAAGACTTGGCAGATTTTTAATTGTGTGTGACAAGAGTTTCTTCTGGAAAAACGTCCAAAGCTAAGCTAAAAATTGGAATATTTAATCAAAATCCCTGCATTCTAAATGTCTCCCCCAAAAACAAAGCCTTTGCAAAACTAAATAAAAAGGCACAACTGGGAAGCCTTGACTGATTCACATGCGACTAACTGTCATGTGACAAAAATTCAGGGACTTTTTGGCTGAACTGCAGGCAGTGTTTACACAGAGTAGAGAGGAGACAAGTACGAAAACTACATAAAAATGTAAGCAGTAATATAGCTAAAGAGCCTCCATTGTGATTGTCCATCAAAGAAATTAAACTTTTTAAATGTTTCTTTTTTCATTTCACTTCATGGTTGTGCTGTTTATGTTCACAGAGGTGCAGGACTTTATACTGCAGTAAAAAATTAGTCCCACAGTGAGAAAAAAAATGTCCAGAGACTGATCAAACAACTTTATACAACTTTTCTTCACAGGTGTTAAAGTTTGTCTTTAACCGTGAAGGCTTCTCCAACTTACCCAGCTTTAAATAAAATGCCCCACATAAAACTAATGTCTTAAAAAGCCCCTATCTGAGTCTCGGGTTATTTCTTTTTAGACAGTAGCAGGGTGAGATAAACCCTCCCTGTATATCTGTGTGGGCGTATTTTGCGTGACCACGTGTCTGCGCTACCGTCTTGTTGCCGTTCTCTCTTCTCAGTTCATCTTGAAGCTCGGCCAGCTGGTCCTCCATCGTCCTGACCCGAGTCTCTGCGTTCTCCCGATCCATTCGCAGCTGAGTCAGCCTGCGAGGACAAGACGACAGCGAATGATTCTTTGAGCTGCTTGTTTGTCTTGTGAATAAGCCACAGTAGCTGCCTGTTTCACCAAACTGTCCCACAGATAATGGTACCACGTCCCTTCCTGCTGTCTTTTGTCTGACAGTGTGTGTGCTTTGCGTGTCCTCACTCTGATTGTGTTTCATTCAACTCCTTCTGCTTGCGGCCCAGCGTCTCCTGCAGCTGCACGTTTTCATCCAGACAGGACTCTAGCTCGGCTTTCAGAGCGGGATCCGAGTTGCTAACAGAGTCCTGCGCACAGGCAGACATGATGAATAAATGAGAGCAGTGAAACATGAGACATCAGATGGCTCTGGTGGCATAAACAAAGGGCTTTTAGGAAATGCTGAAGCAGGCCTGCATTTGCCCACCGATCAATATGAATAAGGGATTAAGTTATTAAGCGCTATTAGAGCTTAAGACCTGCCCAGCTTCCTTAAGCCAACATATAATGAGTCATTATTGAAGTTAGATTATTGTGTGTGTGTGTGTGCGAGTGCACCTCTGACCAGGCCACCGGGATTTAAGGATTAATCTGAGGATTAATCGAGACGCACACTCTGAGGAACCCCCAGCCCTCCTGGTTAGATTAGTTAAAAAGGCACAAAAACTCAAGAGGATGCCGGTTGGAAGCGGTTTCCTTCGACAGCATTTGCTGCTCTCACTTCGAGGAGACTTTATGTGCGACGCTGGATGTGATCCATGTAATTAGAGCTGAGTGAATTTGGCCGGTGACTCTCTGAATGTTAACATCCTCTGGTGGCAGGAAGCTCCAATTAGCTGGCTGAACCGAACTTGGTGGGAAATCCAAGACCCGGTAAACTACACTACCCAGCCACAGCTCCAGCACACATTCTGCACAGTGACACTTTTACCAACTTGGGATTATGAAAAGAAAAAGAAACGACTAATATCTCACGACTGAAGGTCACAAGACACGTCTGCCTCCTCACAACGTTCTCTCTGCTCCACTTACCCTCCTTTCTTCCTGCAGGGCGGTTTGTAGTTTGGCCACCTTTGTCTCAAGCTCCCTTTTTTCTCTAATCCACTCCTCTCTGGGGCTTTCTGTGGGCTGTTAACGAAAAGGTTGTAACGGGAGACGGACAATATACAACAGAAGTGAGTGCAACTCTGAGCGTTATCACTGAAATGTCAAATTATCACCTTACAGTAGCTGCATCTAAGTTGAACAGAAGGTTAAAAAGTTTTAGGTTTACTATGTTAAAAATACACAGTAGGAACTCAACACATTAAAGTCAGTACATCTCTCATAACTGATATTTTAATGTTTGTTTTTGTCAATGCTTCATATGTCCACTGGCATTTTTGACAACAGTCTCAGTCCTTCTTGGCGTGGAGGATACCACATTCCTGCAGAAACAATCTCACGTTCTTCAGACTGTATTTTCCGGCTGCTCGCTGCTGGAGGGGTTGTGTCGCTCTAACTTTCTATTTAAAATACCCCCACAGGCGTTCGTTGGATTCAAGTCAGGCCACATATTTGTCCAGGTCATAGTTTCCCCTTTGTTCTTCTGCAGAAACTCTTGTGTGATTTTGTTCTCTGGATGGTTCTCATGCTGGAATATTCCTCTTCTTCCAGCTTCTGCAGACTGGGAGTCATCTTATCAGCCAGTACTCTGGTTTATCCTCAGACATTGATTTATAAATGTCATCAACACCTGTTGCACTCATGCAGCCCCATATCATGATACTGCCACCTCCATGCTTCACTGTCAGGACTATGCATCCACTGTGGTGGTCCTACATTCATCAGGCTTTTTTTCATGTTCTTTCGCAAAGCTTAACGTTGCAGTTTTGCACAAGCAGCAAGTAAGGATTATTTTCTTGTCCCCTGTCCATAGAGGTTGATGTTCTGAAGTGTCCTTCACACTGTCTAGGCTTCTCAGAAATCTCTGGTTTCCATTGATAGCCCCTGTACCAAGTCTGAAGCAGCTGTTATCTGTTTTTCACAGCTAGATTGTGAAAGCAGGTGACTGTCTGTGGAGCAATTTTAGGAGGACGACCGCTGCAGCCCTGATTAGTGCTACTATGGCTCCTGATTATTGCTGCAGCTGTGATTTAAAGTGGTCACAGATCCTGTGTCCTTTTCATCTCACAATCTTCTTGTTATTATTTCAATCCAAACTGCAATTATTTCCAATGTGGAGCCATGATACAGGCATGCAGATACACACAACCCATAGGTCCAAAACTGATATCTGAATCTGACAGCTCCTTTTATACTCAGGCACTACAATTAATCTAATTAGAATTTATTCTTTTTGATTCAATGCTCACAGGTTTATTCACTTTTGTTGCTTTAGGTTTTACTGTAGGGCCTGTATTTTCAATATAGTCTTCCTTAACAATTTGTTTGTGATTCTATATAAGAGGACATAATGGCAATATTGAGAGGTGTTACAAATTTGACTAATTTGACATTAAAGTGACATTTGCACAGAGGTGGACTCACTTTTTTGTATGCTTTTTGTATACATATTTCTTTAATAATCTAAAAAATGAACAAACAAAACAAACCTTTGTGTTTGGAATCTTCTGACAGATGATCTTGACTTTGTGCCGGATGATAACATCACTCTCGCTGCTCCTGGAGGGAAGGTGAAAATGGGATTTACTTACAAAGACATAACCATTTACTACTTCTATTGGATTAAGCTAAATGAATCAAACGTGTGTGTGTGCTCAGGCAGTAACACGAGGACGCAATGGAGGTCCATACCCTTGTCTCAGGATGTTGTATATCATCTGCGTGAGCTGCTCCTCATCCTCGCTGCTCATCTCTGCACTGTGACCCTGGTCCAGCAAAAGGTCAGGGGTCACCTTAAGACATAGATCAGAAAACTACTCTTGCAATGTTGCATGCCTTGTGGTGTTTGCTCACTGAAAATCAATGCCCAACCAGAGAAGACTGAATTCTTACTTGTGCCTCGGTCAGACTTGGAGTTTCCTCCGACGCCCACTGATTGGCTGAGTGTCCCGGAGCTCTGGCGACCTGGTTGCGTCCCAAGCTGCTGTGATTTGAGGACGGAGGCGATGTGTAGGAGTTGTGGGTGACAAGAGGAGATGTCGCTCTTCCTCTCTGTTGGCCGCCGGCATCGAACTTGTTCTTCAGTCTGTTGACAGGGCGCTGATTCGCGTGGTTTGCTTGTTGGGGAGGTTCAGGGTGTGACTGGTGGTCCCTCGCTGATCGGTCCAGCCCTGTCTGATACGAACCATCCCACATATTCCTCTCCATGCTCCCATCTCTACTCCTGGCAGGCCAGCTCTGCTCTCTGTCCCCCCTTACTCCAATTCCTGCATCCAGATTGCCGTAACTACCAGACTTCCCATCCCCTGGTGGTCTAGACAGCTGAAAATCCTCGTTGCCATCCCTGTCCAGCAGCGACCCATGCGACTGAGCCCGACGTAGAGCTCCCGCCTGCCCTCCTCCTCCTACATCTGCCCCCTCGGTTCCTGGTTCTGGCTTGTCTCTGCTGCGGGGAAGGCTGTTGAAGCCGGAGGGGTAATGGGTCCTGAGCTGGACCCCGTACGAATCCCCCTTCTGGCCGTCCTTCAGGACCACGTATGGCTGCCCGGCGATCCCCTGCACCCTCACTGCGACGCCGTATTTATTGTGGATCTTTTTCTTGGGCTGGGACCCAGGCTGCCCTCCACCAGTGTCGTGGAGATCGTTGATGAAGCGGATCTGGACGCCGTGGTCCACCGGAGTCTTCCGGCCTGAAGACGGTGCGCTCATGCTGGTAGCAGAGCAGCAAGGACGCTAGGAAGAAGGAGGAAACAAGATGTGGTTATAGCAGAGGGTTTTTTTGCTCAACTGAATACAATCAGAACCAAAACGTAAACTTCTAAATTAAATAGATATGCTTTGCTACATTTTTCCCAACACATGGGCACAATTTGGAGTTCAGTGTCTTGCACAAGATGACTCTTTTCCATGACTACAGAAACCACCTGAACCCCAAACCCACTGGCAGGTTTGACAGGCGTGTTATCATAAAACTTAATTTAAAAAAAACAAACATCAAAATACACAATTTATCAGACTCAGAAACTGTGAAAATAGAGAAAACAATCAGATTTCAACTTTCTGATATCCCCTGAACACATCACGTCCACCATTCGAATCTGTCAACAAAAAAATAACCAATTCTAAGCGTACAATTGTGATATATTCTGCATGTCTCGTTGAAAAATTCCCCACATCCTGTAAAAAAAAAAACAAAAAAAAAACAAGAAAATGTTGCACTAAAATGTAAATAGTTAAATATCTAAAGCGTGTGGAGCCACAAGCTTTGTCAAGTGTCAGTAACAGCAGTGGACACTTGTAAAAATGTTCAATATTTTGCATTTGCACTTCAATGTTTTTTAATGATTTATGGTACTGCAACTATGTCATACTGGACAAAAAAAACATTTGAGTTCTCTCCCCTGCTAGCATCATTGTGCTGTTTCCATAGAGGTGCAGGACTTACATTACATGGTCAGAAAAAGAATGATAGGAGCAAAAAATATAAATAAAAAATGCCCGGGAATTCCTTGGAGTGATTTCTGGTCGCATTTAGCCAAAAACGCAAAAAGAGACTCCAATGTCCAGAAGTTAACTTAACTACAGTAAATGTGTAGATCTTTCTAGACTTTACATCAAAAAATACTGAAGCTGCACTACCCAGGCGAACACATCAGCTGATATTAGATGACTGGAAATATCAGTCTCAGCAATTTGATTTAAGGTGATTAACATAGTTTGTCCACTTTCACCACTTCCCTTTTTATTTAAATCTTTTAATCTATAACAAAGCAAAGGAGTCTGCATTAGGTTTGCTTCTCTGTGCATAAAAATACAACCAGTTCCGGACCCACATGAACGAGTAAATCCGACAAAGGCTGCTCAGACAGCAGAGATTCAGGCCGGCTTTGAACAAACACAGATTTATAGGCAGTAACACTTAGTTTCTGTCTCTTGCCTGCTTGTGTGGACTTTGTCCTCGGTGCACTCCATTAGTCATTAACCTGAGAGCACACACCCACATATCACTTTCCCCTTGTGAGGAACTAAGCCTTTCCAAACTTTTGGAAGTTTCCAGCCAGATACCAGCGCTAATTCCCTCAACAAAACTTAGAACTACAGACAGACTAGTAGCCGCTCTTCATTAACTCCACACTGCAGCTCCTTTCAGTTTTCTCCACTCCCGTTTTCTGAACTCTGATAACACACGATGACTAAATCTGAAATTTGGCGTGCACTGATTACACCTGTGTAAAGGTTAAGCCCATGTCAGTGTTATTTGTGGCTGGCAACAATATAAAGAGCTGAACAGGACTTTCCAGGTATTACACGGGCCGCTGATTGAGAGTCGTGTAAGGTCACATTGTTATAAGTCATTACGACGCTACGCTTCATTAAACTCACTCCAAAACTATTCCGACACTCCCTCCTGACCTCGCCGCTCTGCACCTTCCACTTCCACTCCGAGGTGAGAGACAGAAAGTGGGAAAAGGGAGGGCGAGGCGAGAGAGACAGAAAACACTCCACTTTTCTTCCCTTATCAGTGCTCGGTGTGATAAAATCCAGAGTCGAGCTGTTCCTGAGAGCCGCCCTCCCTCCCTCCAGTTCGCTGACTACCAACGTACAACTCTAGCACACGTTACTGAACAGCTACACACACATTGTTTGCACGTCCTCGCCGGTTTTGGAAGCTGTGTGACGCAGCACGAAGCTGGCCGAGCTATTCGGATGGAATACAGTCAGCAGAGTGAGCCACGAAGGACGGACCTCGCTGTGAAAATGAATATTTATACATGACACAGCTTCAGGGCAAGGATAGGGGAAGGTTAGCGCTGCTACAATCTATTGATTAGCTCTCAATCTTTAAATAATCAGCAGCTATTCTGATCATCAATAACCAGTTTGAGTAATTTGCTTTAGAAAATCAAAAGTCTAATTTCTTCTTTGATTATAGCATCTTAAAATGAATATTATCTGGTTTGTTTTGGGAAAAACTGAAGAAAGAACTTATCGAGGAAAGAATCTGAATAAAACAGATAAATGGACGATGAAAAATAAATTAAGTTAAAGATGAAATAATGACTTCATGAAGCAGTGAGCAGAAGGTGAAGGTGTTTAATGTGTTTGGCTTTTTTTACTAGATCTTGCATCATCATCTTCAAACAACTGATCAATTAACCAGATAATAATCGACGGAGTCATTGACAATAGAAATAATCACTGTAACCAAGGAACTTGTGTGTTTCTGTGTACAGAAAAGATGAATTGCAACCAACGATTAACTTATTACCTGTCATAAATGAATTAATCGCCAATTATTTTGACAATCAGTTAATCGTTTGAGCAATTTCTTCAGGAAAAGCGGCTAAAACCTGTAATTGAAGCTTCTTAAATGTGAATATTTTCTGGTTTCTTTCCTCCTCAATGACAGCAAACTGAACATCTTTGAGCTGCCGACAAAACAAGACATCCTGGGTTTGAGAAACACTAAGGCTAGCATTTTCTTATGTTTAATAAACCAAACAACTAAGTGATAGTAATCAACAAAACAATCAACAATGGAAATAATTTATTAGTTGCAGCCCTGAATCCAAGAAACCTGTGTGCTTCTATGTTTAGAGAAACTGCAACTCGAGCTGCAACGATTTCTTGAGTTCAACTATTAAATTAATTGCCAACAATTTTGATGATCAGTTAATTATTTGAGTAATTTCTTCGGGAAAAACAGCTAAAATCTGTAATTGCAGCTTCTTAAATGTGATTAATTTCTGGTTTCTTTCCTCCTCTATGACAGCAACTGAATATCTTTGAGCTGGCAACAAAACTCTACATTTTTAACTATTTTTTGGAGAACAACCAACCAATCAGTTAATACAGGAAGTAATCACTAGATTAACTAACCATTAAATGATTGTTAGTTGCAGCCCCGTATACAAGGCAGTCCAGTGTTTCTATGCATATGTAATGGAATATAAATAGCGAGTGGAGCTACAATGATTGATTCAACTATTACATTTAAGACGTTTTTCACCATTTTTGGCACTTTTTATGGACTAAGTCAATCCACAGTGATAATTATCTTTAGCTGCAGCCGTGGTGAAGGGGGACGCAGTGGACGACACTGAGTGGCATCGTGGCCTGAACGACCTTTAAAGGTATCTGCAGACTGGCTTTGTCCTCACACAGACCTACTTATCAGTCGTGTGCAGCTAGTTGAGTTTTTTCCACCCTTCGGGACCCACAGAGGAAGCAGCGCCGTGTCACAACGGATCTGTGAAGCCGAGCGTGAAGCCTGCAGCCCGCTGTCTTTACACCAAGGTCAAGCAAACATGTCACGCGCCGATGATTGTGTCATACGAGAAACACGTAAAAACACAGCCCATTGATTCGATGCGACGCGCTCATCTGAACCGAGGTGATCCGCGGAGTCTCGGCGATGAGTCGGCCCAGCTGACGTACAGGAAGGCAACTGTAAGGCAGCTTCTCTCTGTTCACCTGCATGTTTTCATCAGTTTAGCTTTTTTTTTTTTTCTTTCTTTTTTTATATTTGTCTCAGAGGAAGAGTGCAGTGCCAGATCTGATAGGGAAGGGGGTGAGTGGGAACCATCCCATTGTGTAGTTGATGTGGGGCGGAAAATGAGGGCAGTAATTCTGAGAATGCTAAAACTAACCCCCTCTGCTCTCACACTGCCCGTCAGATCATAACGAGACAGTTTCAGGTCCTACAGTGCTGACCCGAAACGCCCCTTTTAGGATGTTAGGCTCACATCTCTGCAATACTCTAAGTAGGACACCATTTATCTGGTTTCCACTGGTCGCTGTGATGTGAAATGAACATGCAGATCCCACCTCAAGTTACTGCTTTCTTATATGACCAAATGAATCAATAGGTGTTGGTGACAAGTCCATAGATTCAGCTTCTGTTTGTCATGTGATGGTAAACTGATCATCTTTGGGTTCATGAAGCAAAGCAAGCCATTTGGTGATAAAAATTTTGGGCTTCAAGTAAAATATCTTTCTTGTTTTTCATTGCAAATTAATTTTTTTTTTTTTTAAAAAAGGCCTCAATGCTCATTCTTAAAAACCCTTCGTCTGCCGGTTAATTCTTTGCTGTTTTCCAGTAGAGGTGCAACAGTTAATCAATTAACTGGCACGTTTTAATTAATTATCAACTAATCTGATAAGCGATCAGTCAGTGTGAGTATTTCTTTAAGACAACAGTCTAAATTATCTTTTTTAAATTGTTGTTTTTTTTCCTCCTCTATGATCGTTAACTGATTATCTTTGGCTTGTGGACAAAACAACTGATTTTTCATGTTTGGGAAACACTGATGGACATTTTTCACCATTTTATAGACCAAACAACTAATCGATTAATCCAGAAAATAATCAACAGATTAATTGACAATGGAAATAACAGTTAGTAGCAGCCATGTAGCCAACAAACTTGTGTGTTTGTGTATATATAGAGAAAAGGAAAATGCAACTAGAGCTGCATACAATTAACTGATTAGTTGTCAAGCTGATGATCTTAAGCAAAGTAAACCATTTGGTGATCACATCTTGGATTTTAAGAAATTACAATTGTGAAAATTATATTTCCTCCTCTATGATCATTAACTGAATGTCTTTGGATTGTGGACAAAACAACAGATTGTTCATCTTTAGGAAACACTGATGGACCACTTTTCAGACCAAACAACTAATCGATTAATCCAGAAAATAATCAGCAGATTAATTGACAATGGAAATAATGCCTGGCTGCAGCCCTGTATCCAAGAAACGTCCGTATATCGAAACAGTGAATTGCAACTTTAGCTGCAACGATTAACAAGTTAATTGTCAAACCGATGATGTTTAGGGTAATTGAACAAAGCAAGCCATTTGGCAAAACACCTTGAGCTGTAGGAAATTCTAGTTATGAACATTTTCTTTCCTCCTCTATGACTGTTCACTGACTATCTTTGGATTGTGGATAAATCAACACATTTTTCACCATTTTCCAACATTTTATGACCAAATAACTCAGGAAATGCATGAAAAATGTGGACTTACTGCTTCATTAATCTAACAACTTAAAGAAATAATATATAAAGTAAGTCGGAGCCTTCTTTAGCAAGGCGACAGGTCTCGAAACCACACTGATTCTGCTGTATCTGGGGGCTTTTGGATCGGGCTGCCAGTCATGCTACCCTGCAGTTACGCCGACGGTTCCTCTGCCCCTGGCCTCAAATTGAATTCTCACACAGTAAATTGAATCGGAGCTGCTTCCCCCGTCAAGATCTGAGATGGAATGGGAAATAGAATTAGGAGATTAGAGCGAGGAGAGAAACGAAACGGCGACGTGCGGAATCATGAAAGTGCCTCTGCTGACTCACGGACTCCGTCTGGTTCAGGAGATCACATCATCTCCGGTCCTCGTACGGCTCCAGACAGCAGCAGAGCTGGAGGTTACCTGAGCCAAAACTCATTTTCAGAGTTTATCCATCCTTCAGGCTGAACTGTGTGCACTCGCAGTATGTAATATTAAATGCATATCGTGTTTCGTGTGTGTGGAGCAGACAAAACATTTGGACAAAGCCAGTTTCTGCAGCAGAAGATTATTTCAGTTACCGTAGAGCTGCTCATCTGTTTTGGGAATTTATTAATGTGGTCCAGAAAATTAAATTCAATTAATTTAGTTTGATGAAAAACACACAAAGAATTTTACAAGAAGATCAAATCTTGAAGCAGAAGAGGCTAAAAGCACCAATACAGCCTGCAAGTAATGAATAATCTCATCGTCAGTTATTTTCTAGACTGACTGATCAGCTGTTTGCTCTATAAAATGTACGAAAATGGTGAAAAATATCATCCATTCCAAGATTACGTCTTCTTATTGTCCAAATAGTCTTGTTTTGTCCACAGAAATCTGAAAATATTCCCATTTTAAACGTTGCAATCAAAGAATTTAAACTTCTTTATCTTAAAAAATGACTCAAACTGATTGATCAGTTATCAAAGTAGTTGAGAATGAATTCAATAGTTGACAGCTAATCATTTGATTGATTAACTGTTGCAATGCTACTGGAGAACAGTGAGGAACTGGACTGTAGGAGATGGCCAGAGATGAGTTAATCCTAACATCTGTCATTTTCTCTTCATAGTTGCTTTATCGAGCTACTGATGATTAAAACTGCTGCCAAATATCACATCGTGTGCATTAGTCACAACAGTTTTTGCTGCTTAATGGAACTAATCTACTAAAGTACAAAACAGAACTTTATTTACTCTGGTCTGAGTTTCTTTTTTTTTTTTTTCCACTTTATTTAAATGACAGAGTTTGTTGACATGCAGGCTCCACATGTGCACAGCAACATAACTGAGAAGGAAGATTTGGCTGCAAACAGAAAGCCCAGTGTAAGCTGTCCACCATTTAAATCAGCAGCACAAAAATTCAAATTCTGTGGGACAAGTGCATCTGAACGCCATCCAAAGCAAAACAACTACAACTTCAGATGCCAGCTCCAGACGGCCTTTTTTAAACTAGATTTTATTGTCCATACAGATATAATCCCCCACAAAATCTTTCCAAAGAGCACCATTTACTTCATGTGGTGAAAATCACCAGAGAAAAACTAAGTATTGCATTGTTGTACGAAATAATGCAGCCTTATAGTCAATTAGCTCTGATTGACTACACACAGAGTTTACAGCATCCTATAAAGCCGACAGCCATAAATAAGTCGCTCACACCTTTTTTTCCACGTGAATCATTGAGTTTTACAGGCATAACCGAGAAAACACAAACGCGAGGGTGTAACTAACGGCGATAAAAGCAGCTTCTTCCTTCGCTGCTCTTAAAGGACGATCATCCACTCAGACTTTTTCTCTCTCTCTCTCTCTCTTGCTTCATTACATTCTTGACAGAGAACCAGGCCCTCGGTCTCCAGCAGTCAACCTCTCAACTCCAGAACTCGCCACTGCTCCTCTTTCACGGCTCAAACAAACAGCCATTTATGCCTCCTTTTCAAATCCAAAAGAGTTCATTGGCATAACAAAGGGAGACTCCAGTGTTACCAAATAGTACACAAATGACACTATATTAGAGCGCATAAACACAGCCCTCCCTTCTCCCACATTCCTCACACTTGTTTCTCTTCTCACCCGTACAGGCTGGGAGCCGTCATGGGAGAGAGGCTGCTTCCTGGGATTATATCTTCACATTTGGGTGTATTAACTGCTTCTATGTGGGACACTAGGCCAGTCAATACAGCTGTGATTGATCAATTAGTTGTAGATCAATTTAAATAAATCAATTGAGCAGTTGGAGTGATTTTTTTTGACAACAACAAAAGTCTAAATTCTAATTCCATCTTCTTAATCCTCTGAACACCAAAACCCACCAGCTGATTTGAAAGGCATTAAATCTTTTTTTAAATGCAAAAATTACACTTTTTCTTTTTTAAAACATGTAAAAACAGAAGAATTGCTGTTCAAACACTGAACCAAATTTAAGCTAAAACTGTGATTTTTTTTCTTTTCTTTAATCTGCAGGTGTCATTTAAAAATGTGCCAGAAATAGACAATTTGCTTCAACCAGAAGGAGAGAAAAACAATAAATATTCACTGCTTTTTGGTACAACCTGTTAAACAATTAGTGACTCAGCTGAAACCACTTTCGGCTGAACTGCAGGCGGTGTTTACACAGAGCCGATATGAGACGAGAATGCAAACAAAATACAAATGTTAGGAGGAAAATATCCACAGACACCAGTTTTTTAACGTTGGGAACACCTGTGAAAACTTAAAACATTGTACATGTCGGTTCTGAGCTTTTTCAATGCTTGGAAGATAAATAATCTCAGAAATTCAATTCTAATTCTCTTTTTTTTTCTCTCTCTCTCTCTTTTTTATTTTTTTTAAAGATTCATGGCTTTGCAACTGTGTCATCCTGTACAGAATACTTTCAACAACAAAAAAAGATGCCATAAAATCAAATTTACTCCTTTATTGCAATAAACTGAATATCACTGAGTTGTGGACAAAAAGGCACATTAAAGGATGTCACTTTGGGCTTTTGGGAACCACTGACTCACATTTTCTAACATTTTAAACACCAAACAGCTCATTAATTCATCTAGAAAACAACCCACAGATGAACTGACGATAAAAATAATCACGACTTCTCTCTTTTTCAGCAAAACCATTCCAGAGTTAAGGCATTTTGGTGTGTTTTTGCCAAACTAAATGAAACACATACACCTGTCTGTGTTTGCGCCGACGTGAGCATCACCACTGACCATTAAATGAACCTGTGTCAGTGGCTTCTTCACGTTTAAGTGCAGTAATTAGTGCAATTTATGACATAACTTGCCCAAAACTATAATCTGCTGCACCTTGCTGCATGTGTCATCGGTTTCACAAGAGCTGGACAGGGGTGAAACCACACATGCACAGCTGTTTATTCACCATTTACCCACATTCATCTATTTTAATGACTTTAATTTAGAGCATGTGCATGTTTTTAACCCAATAACAACAACAGGTGTGCACAGAGACACAATAACAGCATAAACATGACACTGAAACCGCCTTTATAATATGAACTCAATACAAAATAAACCTCCAATTATATATTTTGCTCGCAGCTTTACACTATGTACGTTATTATATTTATTTAAGATGACTTTAGAGGCATATGTGAGGTAACCTGAGGTACCTTTAGCTAGCAGCACTCCCCAGTTTCTGTCTTTCTCACGAGCCAGCTAGCTAAAAAGCTAAAACAGCCCCAAAAGAAAACAAACCACAGTGACACGATGCTGTTAGAAAGTATTATTTAACTGGCTTAAATAAGGAAATAAGTGCCTCACAGGTCCAGAAAAGCCGCCGTAAAGCAGCTAAAACTAACTGTCAGAGAAGTCGTGTCTGTCTGGGCTTTAGCCGTCTGGCTCTGAGAGGAGCTCCCAAAAAAAAGAAGAAGCTTTAAGGAAAAGTTACCTCTTTTTCCCAACTTGTTCCTCGGCTTCTCCTTCAGTCTCGGTCCCTGGATGATATATTGGATATTTTCACACGCATCCGCCAAAGTCCACTCGCAGAAAAAGTGGGTGGAAAAACAACCGCACCGTCAATTATCGCAGCAACAAGTTCATTCTGCGGACTGAAACTGCAACCTGTTACCTTTTTGTCGGGGATGGAACCGTCCCGCCCAGCGCCGCCACAGGGAGAGTTCTGATTGGACCAGAGCGCCGACATGGGCGGAGATATCGATATCAGCTACGTCTACTATTGGTTAGATATCTACGTCAATTAATCATTGTGTTTGGACCATTTGGACACTTGTGTTTCTGCTGCAGGTAAAACAAGCTGTAAAAACACCGCTATGACTTACATTTAATCATAAATTAATGACACCCATGCCGTATTTAAATGTGCACGATACCTTTTATATGCTTTTATTTAATTTTTGGACTATTTTAGTCGAAGCTGCCATGTCCAAAAGTATTCATACCCTTGAAACTGTCACAAATTTTGGGGAAATTGCAGCTTTCAAACCATTTCAATTAGTCCTATCATTCCCTACAGCTAATGTAGTAATTCTCCAGTCAGTTCCAAGTCATGGCTGAAACCAAAGAGCTCAGTGAGCTGCTGTTAGGGTCCATCACTGAGTCAAAAGCTGCACATTTTAGCTGCTCATGAGACGTTTAAAGTCTATAAAGTCATATCCAAGTGTTTTCGAGGTCCAGTGGCCACGATGTAAAGTGTCATGATAAAGTACAAGGAGTTCCACTCTGTGAAACGTCTCAAAGGGCTGCTAGGAAGACAAAAGTGAGCCCTGCACGAGAAGAATAGTATAGGCCAAGAAGAATCCAAGGATCAGCAAAAGTCCAAACCTGAATCCTTCCAGAACTTGTGGAGGAACTGAAGAGCAGAGTGATGGAGAGGAAGCCGCAGATGGACACTTGGAGGAACTAAATCTTAGTGGAGGCATGCTGAAAGACTGTTAGACACTAGAGCAATTGTTGGACTGATGTGGGACAAAATAAATACTAATAAAGTGAATCATTTTGGACAATTGTAAGAATTTTAATTTTTTTTAAAAGATGAAACCAGTGAATATTTATCATTAACACCTCTAACACAATGTTTTACTGTCTTTTGTTTTTTGTTTATGACATTTCCAGCCAAAAAGAACCCTTTTGTTTAATAAAAAAATCTCTGTTGACCGAAGTTTGGCACGAGGATGAATCATTTGCGGCTCAACTGTAGATAAACAACACATTTTCAGGGCCAGTGATGGACCGAGGTGAGTGCAGGCTGGTGCCTCAGTGGATTTGTTCCTCCAGTTTACCAGTAGATGGAGCAGCTATCTGTCTACCATCTGGGAGAGCATCATCATCATCATCATCATCATCATCATCATCATCAGGGGCCCTTTAAAAGCTCTACTGACCCTTCACATGTGTGACCTCCAGTTAAATGGAACTGACGACAGAAAAGAGTTGAAAGAGGACATGTGACATCTTACTCCAGTAGAAGTAGCGTTAATTTAAGATCATTTAGTTTGTTTTACAGTATTTGCATCATGTTAGTTGCTTTATTTTTCATATTTTTACATTTGAAAAATTCAGATTTTGAGGTATTATTGCATAGTTCCTCCAATAAAAACACAAAAGAGGCAAAAGGCTTTTGTGTGATTCGTCCTGAATGATCAGAAAGTTTTGAAAATGTTCAGGAATCTGTGTGTGACACTTTATTACTAATTACACTGTGCTGCTTTTTAACCTGTATTTCTCAGTTGTATTGTTATAGGTATTTATTTCTATACATTGTTTTTGTTCATGTTTTTGCACTGTACTGGGACTTGGACAACAGTCTTTCGTTTTTTGATAAATGCAAATACACAAGAAACGACGATAAACAAATCTTGAATCTTGCTGAAATGCATCTGACCTACAAAAGTTCAGAGGTTTGCAAATTAATTACATTGAATTAACTGTTTACCTGGAAAGGTGCCACATTTGAAGAAGTTACATCTCCAAACAGAAGATACAAGAGATGACAGAAAAGCAAATTATTCCTGTTTGTAAGTGGACTCAACAGAGATAATATTAAATGGGAAAAGTTGATCTACATAAGAACATATGTTTGACATCAACACAGAAGGTGGAAGCCTTGTAGTGAATCGTCACAGTGCCTAAATTATGTGTTTTCCTTTATTTAAAAACATTTCTGGCATCAATTGATGCAGAAAAGGAACAAATTGCTGCATAAAATAATAATCAGAATGCAGGAATTTATGCCGTTGACCTTCAGGGAGGACGTCCAGTTCTCTGCTTGTCCCACCCAAAGCTCAAACAAAACCATAATCTGTTCTGATTTTTGTTAAGATAAGATATGATAAGATAAACTTTATTGATCCCTCATTGAGGAAATCCACATGTTACAGCAGCTACATACAATTTTGTCACTGTTATCTTTGCCTAGAATCAGTTTTAAAAGATGCACTGATTATAATGGCAAAGATATAACCGTGTATCTGCACTGGAGGGAAGTCAGAGAGACTGAGGACCTAGTTTGGCTTTAAAAAATGAAAATTTAGCAGGAATGTGAGATGTGTCAGTGCCTGGAAGCTCAGACACATAAAACATGCTGCTTGATCACTTGTGTTTCCAGGATAAAGACTGTAAATCCGCTGTTTCAGGTAAATGATGGCACAAATCAGACCTGTCAAATCTTTAAAACATCTGGACAATGTGATGCTACAATGGTCAAAGCTTCTTCTCTTCTGGATTGTCAGGTGTTTGTACTTTTTGTCCACATTCCAAATTCAGTGATTTCTTCTTCACTTTTAAAAGGTGTTCTTTTTCTTCTAAGTGCATATATATGTATAGACAACCATAATTTAGGAAAAAAAACTACTGTGGATGCTGTTGCTTTTTTCAAATTAAGGGTGAAATTAAATTCAATGCATATGTAGTGTTACTAACAACAACAACAAAAAAAAACACAACACTGTCTTGTACCATTTTCTTAAAAGAAAAAAATATGTATATGCAGACATTTTGGCCCGCAGACAAGAATATCTGACAGTTTAAAGTGTTACCATGACTACAATGTAAAAAAATATACATAAAATGAAACAAAATCAGTAATTTTACAGAAGTTTTTAAGTGTTTTTCAGAGTTTCTCCAGATTTCTGAAAGACGTAAATATTAATTAAACAAAAGGAAAAAATAGACTTCTAAGTGCATGTACAGTTGAAACGAGAAGTTTACATACACTGTATAGAAAGACATTTTTTTCACTGTCTGACATTAAATCAGACTAAAGTTTTACTGTTTCACTTCCGTTGGATTACAAAAATTAACTAATACAAAAAAGCTCTAAAAAATGATCTCTCTCATCATTCTGGCATTTAGCAAATAAAAATAATTATGGTCATCCTAACTGACCTAAAATGGGAAAAGTTCAGTCTGATTTAATGTCAGATAGTGAGAGGGGAAAAAAAAGATGGCTATATGTCTTTTTATACGGTGTATGTAAACTTCTGGCTTCAATTGTATGTCAAGATAACCATAAAGCAGTGGGGGGAAAGAAAAACAGCTTTGGATTTGGAGTTTGGGTCCTTTTTTTCACACTAATCCTGAGGTTAGGATTTATAAAAACAAAATCCAGGCATTTTGTTTTACTTTTTTTTTTTTTTACTTTATCTCTCAAATACCAACAACAAACTGTTTAAAAAGCACCTTTTTGATTGATTATTGAGGAAAGATTGTTGCAGACTGTTCTCAGTATTAAGTGCATAAACAATTCAGACCAAATACAACTCTTATTTGTGATTTTATCTACAAGTTGTCACCTCTGTAGAGTTAATGTGACCACATATGCTATTCCAGTTGTAGCTGAGTCCATTCTGAAACTCCTACTCCGCCTCTCCGCACAGCCCCTCCCCACAAACCCAACGACATCCCACAGTCTGCGCGCACCAACTTTCCTCTCCTTCCCATCACTTCGCCTGGTCGACAGACTGGAAGCACCATCTCACGCTCCGGGAATGGGATCTTCACTGGGTTCAAAGAAAAACTTCCAATTCTTCCGAGTTTACGCTCTGCAGAAGCTACTTTTCAAGCTACAGGGATAGCAAGTTGTGGCCGCAGGGGCAGGGTGAGCGCAGCAGAGAGCCGCCGGCCAATGATCTCCAAGACGCAGCAGAATTTGTCTGATTGTCAGGGAGCTCCAGACGACAGGAGTCAGCACAGTGTCATAGACTTGGCTCTGTTTAACTTGGTTATTCAGATATCCGTGCGTGCCAGAGTAATTTCAACCGAAACGTGAGCGAAACCGGCGTGCGTAAAGTTGGAGCTATTACGCACCGATCAAAGTTAGTTCTAGGGGGCGGCGAATGCAAGAAAGTGTAAAAGACCACAGATTTGTTCACTTTTAAAGCCTGTGAGAATACTAGCAGTCATGGCGAAGTGGTTCAGAGACTTCCCCATCAACCTGAAGAACGGGACTGAAAGGGTTCGCTCGGCCTCCGAATCTGGTCCGCAAACTCGACCCAAACCCTCGTTCTCCCGAGACAGCTTGAAAGGGAATCAGCGTAAAGATGGAGGAGTTGGGGGTCTGTTGGCAGGTAGAAACAGGAAAAATTCGGCTACAGAATTGGGTCGCAGCAACGCAGGTTCAGGTGGGACTATGTGGGACAGTCTAGCGCCAGGAAAAGGTCGCAAGAACTCCAAGATCGAGGCTCCAGACGAGAACCGGCAGGTCAGGACCTCCAGTCTGGCGCAGGCGTACATCAGCAGGATGATCAAAGTGGACAAACAGGACAAGACCCCCAAACTCAACGGGATAAGTGAGCAGAAGCAGCCAGAGAACGAGAAGGGGAAGTCAGACATTAAAACGACGGTGAGTAACTTGGAAGAAGCTAATTCAACTGAAAGGAAATTTCATGTGCATCTCCTGATTATTTTAGACACAAAAACGGCAAATATGGCAACATTCTTGATACAAACCAATATATTTCTAATGCACAGTGCTTTTGTGCTTGAGGTCAGTTGTTTCCTTCTTGTTTTCTGTCCCCACCTCAGTTCAAAACCCCATATTCAGTTTCCATCGCTCTCCAAAGAACACAATGCAGTTTCACTACATTGTGCCACATCAAACAGGGAAACACAATGCACTGACCTCTTTGCACAAGTATTTCCGCTGGTTCCTCCATTGCTTGTCACTCAGTCATGGACACCACACACACAGATCCCTCCCCTCCTGTCTGCTCTGTTGTCTCCAGGTAAAGTTAACATGTAAACAACAGATCTGCATTGTGTCTTTGTTTTTTTTTCTTCTCCTCTTTCGCAGCTGATAATCCTGGAGGACTATGCAGATCCTTTTGATGCAGAGAAAACCAAGGAGCAGAGGGAGGCTGAGAGGGCCGGGATGAATGACGGGTACATGGAGCCTTATGACGCCCAGGTCATCATCACAGGTGAGCTCAGGGTCAGTTAGAATGTGGAAGGTGGCGTCATGACTGAAAGAACTGCACACTCTTGGTTTTCCAGAGTGTGTGAATGTTTTCTCAGAGTTTGGCTTTGAAGAGAGAATATTGTTAAAAGCAAACTTGAAGTGCATGTCTGGTAAATTCTTGTGCTTATTAGAAAAAACAAAGATCTTTGGAAGGTAAATAAAGAAACACTGAATTTGGAATGCAAACAGAAATACAAATGCCTGACAATCTAAAAAAGAATCTAGACTACACTACCCTGTTAAAACAAACAACAACAAAAAATCTGTTAATTTTTCAGATTTTTTATTTTATTTTCCCTATTTTCACATATGTGAAATAAGTTTACAAGAATAGACTGTTCATTTACATGACTAATAAAAAATAAATTAAAAAAAACTTTAAAACCTGTAACTCTAAAGAAGGATATTTACATTTCATTTTTTAAAGTAATATTTTTGGCATAAAAACACACAACAAAAGACTAAAAAGAAAATTTTCATGAATATTATTTTTTGATTTTAAAAGAAATTGTTACATTTGAGTGTAGTCAAGTAAACATATTTTTAAATGTGATAAAAAAAATTAGTAACAATTAATTAACATAATTGATCATTTTATAGATTTTTACTATATTTTTTGAAAAAGGCAGAAATAATAATAAGATTACAAAAACAGATTTTAAATCTACACGTCCAATGTAAAATAATAGAGAAAAAAATGCAACTTTGAATAATAGTCATTTTATTTTTAAAAAATTAGTTGCTTTTAAATATATATATATATATATACTATGGCTTTTAAATTTTACAACTGTGCTCTTTGATGAGAATATAATAGTTAATATTCTTCATAAAAAATTAAAAAGTCAAAATACACACACAGCCCATGTGAAATTAAAGCTTATTTAAGGACCATTTATTTTAATTTATCAAATTACTGTATTTGTACAAGATAATTATTTTTTGTTATTTTTCTGTATTTTACTTTTGTCCCAGCTACCACAATATTACTTTTCCCCCCTTTTTATAGTGTATAACAACTTTACATTGTCAAGGCTTTTTAAAGATTTGCCAGGTTTGATTTTTTACACTTACTTGAGGTAAATAGTTCTCTGACAACACGACTTAACGTACAAACTCTCAACAAGCTTTGTGCATCATTTTCAATGAGCTCAACTCAGGGAACACTTGTCAGATGTCCACGCCGAGTTTCTCTGCACGCTCTTGCTAATTTATGACTTTAAAGATCCAAACTGGAACCCTCGGTCTCTCCGCTGACTTCCCTCCCCGCTGGCGGTCGCTATGGCAACCCTGTTGTGCAGGGACAATGGGTGCAGCTTCCTCTTCCAGCTTCCTGTCTCCTGCCTCTGTTTCCTTTGCCCCGTTCTCCTGATAGGACGTTGGCCCTGCAGTGGCCCGCACACACACACATGCACACCTAATGTTTTATGGTCCCTTATGTGTGACAAGAAACCCCCCACCCCTCGCTAAAAAACCTACACCACCCCCCCTCTGCCTCCCCCTCGGTCTCACCCAATCACTTCCCAGCAGTCAGGAAGCGGCTCCGGTCAGCCAGCCAATCAGCGGCTGTGTTGACCTTTTCTTCCTGTAACTCCATTGTTTGGTCACACAATAGTGCAGACACTGAGGCTACCTGTCGGACAGCCGAGGAACACGGAGAGCAGAGTTCCCCAAAATGTAGAAGAAAAAAAAATGTTAGTACAAATTATGCAAACGGTGCAGCAGTGGAGAGGCAGAGTTCATTAGTCCAGTGATGCTCTACAGACTGTGTAGAGCAGCTGCTCATTTGTGCACCAAAGTGAGAAACAGGGTTAATTAAGCTTCAGCTGATGGACAGGTTTCAAAAGTTTAACCCTTATCTGAATAAAAGCATGTGATTCTGATATCATCCTTTTAACTGTAAACTGTTCATTGAGGACACATTCATCCAAAATCAGAAGTCTTAGTGTCCTTCTGCACAGCGTTGTTGAAAACCTGCCGTGATTCTTTAAATAGTAAAACCAACACTTTGCTGGGTCATTAGTAACCTAATTCCATTGCGTTGCAGAGAAGAGCAACAATTACAGATTATTTATAACATGACACTGTTTCCTCTTTGGTTCACCATAAATATTTCCCTAAATTTAAACCTACAGAGTCCTTCTTGACCACATCACAAACTGTAAGTCCTTACAGCGAAAGCAAGGCCTTGGGAGGCCCTTAAGGCTCTATGTCTGACCCCAGTCATGTTACACCAGCGGTAGGCCTGTAGCCATGAACGCATTAGCATTTTGTTTCTCTGAAGATCACTCAACATGGCTACACGGGGGTTATCACTGGAAATCAGAGTTTCTGCAACAGCTCAGACAGTTTGACGGACACTTCATAACATCAACCTCTATGGACGGAATTCAATAAAAACACCCTCACTTGGCACAAAACTTCCAGATAAAACTTTGCTAAAGAACATGAACAGAAGCCTGATGAATGTTGGAGAACATTCTCTGGTCAGATGAAGATAAATGTGTTGGGCTCAGATGGAGTCCAGATGTTTGGTGTGAACCTGACCAGGACCACCACAGTGGATGCATCGTCCTGACAGTGAAGCACGGAGGTGGCAGCATCATGATATGGGGCTGCATGAGGGCAGAAGGTGTTGATGACATTTATAGACAGAATTTAGTACAATATCACTTAAATGTAAAATGATGTAGAAGTTTATCACCTTACAATAGTTTAATCATCTATAATTAGACATTATCTAAAAACAAAGCCAATGAAAATACAACAACATAGTTTTAATATAAAGCGTTTATTTGGAAACATAACAAGTATTCATTGTATAACTGATATAAAAGCCTCAGTGGACATCAATCAGATGAACCTGGACATACACTGGGATGACTTTAGTTGCATTGGGTCGCTACTGTGGGGCCTGTATTTTTAAAACAGTGAGTCTAAACTGTTAGTTTTTAATTTGATATAAGAGTAAATAACTCCTGTGAAGCTTAGAAGTAATGCAATTATTGTGAGGTGATTGGGTTTTGAATTATCTGACATTAAAGTGACGTTGTGCTTCGTATGTACGCGTCCATTCTGCTGCAGAGGTTCGCCGACGAGGCTCCAAAGACCTCCTGAAGGTGTGTGTCCTGCTGGACCGAGGACAGAGAGGAGGGAAGGCCGAGGAGGGGACGCCACCGCCGCCCCCCAACATCTACGACACGCCCTACGAAGGCGGCCTGCAGGGCGACGGCGACGGGGTGTGGATCCCCGTCACACGACCGGAGTCCGACGTCCGGCCGGCCGGGGAGTACGAGCTGCCCTGGGAGTGGAGGAAGGAGGACATCGTGAGAGCGCTGTCAGGTAGAGAGAGAGGCTCGGTGGGAAGGGCGGAGGGTTCAGGGCGTGGAGGAAGGATGCCGCGAGTTGTATTTGTGCAGCACACATCACAACAGCTCTGTGTTTGCTTTGGAGAGGAAACCAAACAGTCCTTGTGAATGAATTTCCAGAGATGTGTTTACTTTGCGAGCTCTGGCCTGCTTTGATAGGGTTTTATTGTGAAGGGGCTTCACCTTATTGTCTGTCCTGCTTCCACCAGCTCAGTTCGAGGATTGTTCTCCCAGTAAGGAGAACGGCTCCACGTCCGGCCGCCAGCAGCAGCAGCAGCAGCAGCAGCAGCAGCAGCAGCAGCAACAACAGCAACAACAACAAACCCTGAGGCAGAAGAACTGGAACCACAAAACCCTTGTGTCTTCCTCTCCTTCCTCCTCCTCCTCTTCATCCTCTTTCCCATCCTCTCCGATTCTTAAACTCTCCCCTCTCACGCCGTCGCCTCCTTCCTTCCCCACCCTGAAGCTCTCGCCCTCCTCCAGCCCAAACAAACTCTCCCCTCCATCCCCCACCTCCCCCGCTGCCCCGCTGGATGGGGAGACGGCCAAAGTGGACCCGGGGCTGCCGCTGGAGAAGCAAAGGTAAGAAGGAGAAGATCAACTTTTACTGCTGCTTCATGCAAAAAGAAAACTTCTCACTTTCCATGACATGAACTTTATTTACTCAGATTTTCTTTGATACACTGAGTTTACGACTTTTAAACTTTATTTAAAGGAGCTTGTTGATGTTTGATGCAGCAAAACGAGGAGAGAAGTGAAAGATTTGGCTGCAAAAAGGAATCAATGAATGGAAGTAGTTTAGCCACAGAAGGGAAGATGTTGACCAGCACAAAGTCTGATGTGAACGCCATCCAAAGCCTTTGTCAGTGTTACAACAGATAAGGAAGGCTCTAGATTGGTTTTGGGTTTTTTTCATCTTTTTTTAAGCATTTCTTTATTTTTGTTGTCGTTGTATTGGCCTACAGAATCACCCTGGCTGTTCTACAAAGTTTAATTCTTTCCTAATAGAGTTAATAAACTTATCTGGTAAAAAAAAATAAAAAATCCTGAATATAATATATATATATATATATATATAAATATCCTAATAACAGGGTTTTTTTTTTTAAATCATGCAGCTCTAATGAAGGACTCTGTGAATCTGAATGATTTTGAATTTCAGTAAATCAAAGAAAAAAGACAACTGCTTATCAGTCTGGCTGATTATTGCTATTATTGTTTTATTTTAACACATTTCTGATAAAATAAATACATTCAAATATACCTGCAGTGTGAAGCAACGTCCTGCCCAGGCCCCATAGGATTGATAAGTATATTTATGTTTTAAACGATTAATTAAAATTAACTTTGCAATATTTATCCTTCAGTGTTGATTGATTATTATTGGTGATGAGTAACCAATCAACACTGACGGATGAATACTGAAAGTTTCTTTTAATTAATCAGATAAAACAGAAGTAAACAAAAGCATTTCAGTTTGTGTTTTATATCAAATTTAGACACCAAGATTTTAATTCTAACTCTGGTATTGGTGTTTAAATCTGCCCCTAAAAGCCAAATCCATACATCATAATAACTTATATTTACTTTTCATGATACATAGAGACACTAGACGTTTAAACTAAATGAACACATACTATTTTATCAATATGATGCTGAATATTATCGCTTATCAAGGTTATTTATCTTCTTAATTATTAATAAGTTGTATTAAAGCTGAAAATTCAGTCAATCCCTAGAAGACGTACAAGTACTGGAATAAATCTCCCAAACGTTGCAGGACTGAAACAAATAAAGTTTTGAGCGCGAAATGTGCAACAAGATGAAAGAAGAAGCCGCCGTCACCTGATCACAAAAAGTTAAATGTGAGACGTTGGAGATGCATTATTAAAAAGTAGAGAGTAGCACCGGTAAACAGCTGCAGGAGCCACAAATAATCAAACCATAAATATGCTAAAAGTCATGATATAGGACTGATTAGACCCCACTTGGTAGAAAAAGCACCACATTATTGTGACACATCATATAAAAAACAACTTGTGTGAAAATTTAAAGGAGCAGCATGATATAAGGTAAATATGTTCAAACCCCGAAGGGCAGCTTTCTTTCTCTTCATGTCTTCAGAGCTGCCTCTCGCCTCCCTGCATGCTGGGAAGGACTCGACCAGGATTATTGAAAGGAAGGAATTAAACAGACGAGATGCTTCTGTTACCTCCATAAACTGTGCAGAGCAAAGATCTCCTCTTATCTGCTCGCTGTGTCGCCCTGCTCTGCATTTATTACAAAAGAACACGCCTGTAATTCTCTTTTTTTTTAAAAGAGCTCTTTATACCCTCTGTTTTTTGTCTTTACCCCAATGTCTGCCCTCGTGGAGAACAGCGCCCTCCTCAGGTTTGGCTGAAAATATTTTTGTTCTTTGGAAAGGGCAGCAAAGAATGTAGATATTTTAGTGTTTTTATAGTTTGGCTTTTAACCCTCTGAGCTCCAGGCAGTTGCTGGGTGGTTTTTTGCATTTGTCCTCACTGTGGGTTCATTTTCACCACAATACAGAGTCCTGCACCTCTATGGAAACGGAACAAGCATAAAAAAGGAGAGAGAAATGTCTTCTGTGCAGTTTTACGCAGCTATGATGCCAGAAATCTTCTTTTTTTTTTTAAAGTTAAGTGTCTTGTCCCCTGTCTTTGCTCTGTAAAACCACATTGCCTGCAATTCAGCCCAAAAAAATCCTTGAATTTTTGTCATGTGACTGCTGGTCACAGCCGAGTCAGTCGTGACTTTTTGGTTGCAGCAAGGAGCACAAATTTTTTTGTTTTTCCCCAAATATAATTATTGCAAACCGTTTGTGTTTGGCTAATTTTTAAAATAAGACATGTAGAATAAAGTGAAAAAATAAAAAAATAAAAATCCAGATTTTAAGGTTAGATTTGGTTAATTTTCCTGACCAAAGCATACACGAGACATAGTTAGTTACAGGTCAGTTAGAAAGCTGAAAATACAAAGATTTTTTCAGTTTTTACAGTTTCTGGTTATAATAAAAGTTGTAATTTTGGCACTTTTTAAAAAAATAAGATGCATTTCAAACCTGCTGGTGGGGTTCAGAGGGTTAACAGAATAAATGTAGTTTATTTATTTATTCATAATTTATATTTATGTGTTTATTTGATTAATTTAATAATACACATTAGTCTATTGTATGTTTCTTTTAACATTTTCATTTTTCTTTTTTTTTTTTTTTTAGTTTGCCATTCAGATTTTTTAACTTCCCTCGTTTCCTTGTTGCAGGCTTTTATTTCCTCAGTTCGTCACTTCCTGTTTTTATCGAGTCCTTCGTTTCCAGCAGACTGTTTATGGGGGTTGGGATTGTTTTAGTGTTTTATGTTGCTCTGTAAAGCGATTTGTGTTGCATGCTGTTCTCCTATCTGCCTGATAAAGCCCTTACAGCTTCATCAGACGCTGCCAGTCCAGTGTTTTAACTTTTAATTCGTTAAGTGAAACTGGGCTTCTGTTACCTGCAGTCCAGCCTCCTGATGAGGTGCCGGCGGCCATGAATAGTGGATGAAGGGTGCGACCTGGAGGTGACTGAGGAGCCAGGAGAGGCTCATTTTAAAGTGTAAACCTCCGTCCCCTCACCTTATTAAGCGTGGCCTTTCTGTTTTCAGACGGGGAACACATTCAGAGCCTCGTAGCGTTTGCTCCTCTCATGCTGTGGTTGAATGTCAGGGTGGTTTGCCTCCGAGCACCGAGGCCTCACGCAGCCCGTTTATAAATGGCTCCCGCCTGTAGCCAGTGTCACGCCGCGGTGTGTCCTAACAGGCCTCTCCTGACTGTTTATTTACCGCTCGGCCGTGTGCAGAACCATCAGTGTCATTTACAGTGACTGTCTTTTCCCTCTTTTCCCTCACGTATCATTAGCCTGACATCTGACTTGACTCCATATGTCACTGTGCTGCATGTCAACGATCTGCTGTCTGTCTTTGCATCCCTCTCCTCCATCACCTCTCCAAGCTGGTACCACGGCAGCGTGAGTCGGCAGCAGGCCGAGGCTCAGCTGCAGCGCTGCAGGGAAGCCAGCTTCTTGGTGCGAGACAGCGAATCAGGAACCAGCAAGTACTCCATCGCTCTCAAGTGAGTGCACAACGATGCAGCGTTTGACATAATTACACACACAGAGCTGTTTAGATACCTTTGGTTGTTTTTATGCACCTCAAGTTCTTTCTTTTTAGGGTTGCAGTCCTGACAGGGCTTAAATATCACGTGTTTCTGTCTGTTTATTAAGCTCCACTGTAAAAAAAAAACACAAAAAACTTTTTAACAGATTTTCTCTGTTATTTTACACATTTTCTTTGTTTTGTTAAAAAAAGGCCAAAATTGTCAATAATTTCTATATTAAAAACTCTGTATTTAACTGTAAAATGTTTTACTGTTTTTCTAAATCAGACAAAAAAAAATGCAGATATTTGCAGTTATTTACCAGAAAAATTCAGTAAGAACTGAAAAAATATTAAATTTTTTTTTACCTGTTATTTGACAGATTTTTACAGGTTTAAACTTTTAAAATCACAGAAAAAAAACTATTCGTTTGTACATTAACCATAAAAAACCTTTAAAAAATATATTTTTACAAAAATACCAGAAAATACCACTGTTGTATACAGACATTTGACATTATTTGAAAAAAAAAAAAAGATGTATATGAAGAACTGAAATATGGTAAATAAGTTTTATCTGTTATCTTACATGTTCCTGGTTTTGCTAAATTACAGATAATATTTAGGAAAATCACATTATTTTGCAGATATTTGCCATTATTTACCAGAAAAAATCTGTATTAAAGAATTGAAAAATGGCAAATATTGTAATATATATTACACTGTTATTTCACAGATTCTTTCTTGTTATATTTAAGTACTAATATATTAAAATAAGAAATGAAAGTAATAATTGACACATTAACCCTAAAAAACAATACAAGTCTCGCATAAAATACCACATATATGCAGATATTTGCCATAATTTGAAAGAAAAATTATATATATTGAGAATTAGTATATATTTTTACACATTGTTTTGGTAAATTATTTATAATGTTCAGTAAAATCACAAAGCAAAAATATTATTTTATATGCTGACTGTAGAAAAAAGTCCAAAAGTGTAAATAATGTCCATTTTAAAAATATGTATTTGCACAAATAATAATTTTCTCTTTTACAACTTTTAACTGTAAAATGCTCTACTGTATTTAAATTTGAAAAAAAAATAATTATTTTGCTGATATTTGTCATTGTGTAACAGAAAGATTCAGTATATTGAGAGTTTTAAAAAATCGTAATTTTTTATTTTACAGATTCTTCCTTGTTTGTCACATTAACCCTAAAAAAACAGTAAAAATCAACATTTTTATTGTTAGTAAGTCATTCTTTTGCAATGTGTGACCGCACAACTCCACTGTTTCACTGCATTTAAATCAGCTAAATATCATTATTTTACAGATATCCATTATTTTTTACTTTTTTAAAATAGTGTTTTACATTTTTTGTTGTTTTTTTAACAGTGCACTTGTTTAAAAATCAACCTCGTGGTGGCCGTTTTATCTACTGTGTGTATTTTAAAGCTCACATACTGTATAGATGCTCTCTGCTGTTGCTGACTCTGCATCCAGCCCTGATCCGGCCTCATTCTGGCTTTGAGGAGCTCAGATATCTGCCGTGCCTGGCCGCTGCCTCCAAGGTGTTAAATGTGTGTCATCTGCGGACGCTTCTGTGCCACAAATCCAGGTTCTCCAGGATCACGGCTGAAATCCTGCAGCGCCATTGTGAGCGCGTGTTCATGCGCCCGAGTGCACATCAGCGCTACGCTGCTCGTTCAGCGGAGAGTCCACATCATTAACCCCGTTTACGCGTCCACTGAACTCGGAAACGCACGGCCTCATTTGGGGAGTGAGAGCGTTTCCATTATTCAACATCTGCGGTCGTCCTCCTGCAGGATTCTCTCCTCTGCAGAGCCACCTATTGATTAGGCGTCACCTTATTGGATCAATCAGCACTTATTCTGCTAATCAGATTGAATATTCTTAAAGTGTAAACTCTCTTTGGGTTGTGGACAAAGCAAGACGTTTGGGAAACACATTATAGAGCAAACGACCAACTGATAGATAAAAAAAAGATGAATAATGACGATAATCTGTAGCTGCAGCTGCTTCCTGTCCGGTGGTTGAACAAAACGAGACATCTCATTAACTCGGGTCGTGTTTAACCTTTTTCTGACGAGATGATTATTGACTTTATGTCCAAGATAATAAGCAGATTAATACATCATTAGCTAACTGCAGCATTTCAGCAACTATGCTGATGCTATAATTGTATTTAAAGTGGTTTTCTGAATAAAGCTGCGATAATTAATCGATTAGCTGTCAGCTGTTAGTTTAGTCTGCAACTGTTCTGATCATCGATTGAAGTCGTTTTTAAGACAAAAATCTGAATGTTTTCTGGTTTCTTTTCTCCTCTATGGCAGTAAATTGAATATCTTTGAGTTGTGGACAAAACTTTAAGGCCAAGAATGAACTTTAAATCATTTTTTTAACCCAGATTCTTTGTAAATGCATCCAAAAGTTGTTTTATGTCTTTGCAAGAAGATTTTGATTGATGGCACTTTTTTCAACGTCTGCGTCCACTTTAGGTAAAAGGAAGTAAAGAGAAAAGCATCAAGAACGCACAGTTCAGTTGCTGACTTTGCACTGGACCTACAAAGATGAATCAGTTCATGGACTAAATCCTCTATTTTGATATTTGATTGATTAGTTTGGGTGATTGTTTTAAGAAAAAGAAGCCTAAACTTGCTGATTGCAGCTTCCTAAATGTGGTTTATTCCTTCCTATATGACAGTAAACTGAATCTCTTTGGACAAAATGTTAAACTTAAAATCTTAGTTTTGGCACAGATTCTGTTTCCCAAACGTCCCAAGAACATTTTAAAATGCGTCGCTCTCTTCAGACTTAGTGCAAACTTTAAGTAAAAGACAGTTAAGAGGAAAACAATGGCAGGAACACACAGTTTAGTTGCTGAGTTTACATTGGAGTTGCAAAAATGTCTGAATTATTTGACTTTTTTAAAGTTCGACTGATGGATTTAAGTGATATTTCAAAGTAAAATAAGCATAAAGCCTCTGATAGCAGCTTCTTAAATGGGAAATTAATGGTTTCTTTCTTTTTCTATGATGGTTAAATGAACATCTTTGGTTTGTGGACCAAATTTTTATATCAAAAATTTTATTTAAATGTCAGTTTTTCTGCTAGATTTTGGTAAAAATGCGACCCAAATACATTTTTTTCTGTCTCTCTGTCTTTGCAAGAGGATTTTAACCTGTGAACCTTTTTACAAATTCTGTGCAGAAAACACACATTTTACTAAAATGGCAAAAATGAATCAATTAATGGACTGAGCCAACTAGTTTTGATAACAAATCGATCGGCTTGAGTCATTTTTTTGAGGAAAAGAAGCAGAAATTCTCTGATTTCAGCCTCTTAAATGTGAATTTTCAATTTTTTTTTCTTTCTTTTTGACAGTAAAAAGCTTTAATATCAAACATTTCATTTAAAAGAAAGCTTCTCAGCTAGATTCTGTAAAATTGTGACCCAAGCATGTTTTTTTCTCTCTCGCGCTCTGATTGCAAGAAGATTTGAACCTGTGTAGCTCTTTTGACAACTGATTGATCAGATTGAGGATTTTTTTTTTAAGGAAAAGAGGCATAAATTCTCTGATTTCAGCCTCTTAAATGTGAATTTTCTGGTTTCTTTCCTCCTGTTTGACAATAAACTGAACATCTCCAGATTGTGGATTTATGATATTTTATAAATCAATTAATATGACGTAACAATGACAATAAGTGTGTCTTCTCTGACATCATGTGTATCTATATGCTGTGTTTTCCTGCCTGTCTAGGACCAGCCAGAGCTGCGTGCACATCATCGTGGCCCAGACTAAGAGCAGTAAGGGCTTGGTCTACACGCTGGACCAGAGCAGCTGCGTCTTCTCCAGCATCCCTGAGCTGGTCTATCACTACTGCGCTCACAGACTCCCCTTCACTGGGGCCGAGCACATGACCCTGCAGCATCCCGTGTGCCGGCCACAGCGAACATGAAGGCCGCCGCTGACACACAGCTGAGACGTGCATGACACAGATGCGCACACATGAACTCCTTAACACATGTATGTACTCAGAGACACGCCGCTCTGTGGCGTCTCGTGTTCCGCATTAACCCTCTGAACCCCAAACACCTGCCTGTGGGGTTGAAAGGATTGTTATAACTTTAAAAATTTGCCAAAACGACATCATTTAGCAGAGCTAGAAACTGTAAAAGCTGAGAAAATGTTTGTATTTTTCACCTTCTGACTGCCTTTGAGCCAATCGTGTGAGATGTGCAGTGAAGTTGGCAAAAATAACCAAATATAAGCTTAAGATTGCGATATTTAATCAACACACATTTAAAAGTTCACCAGATATTAACAGTGATTTTTCTTTTGTTTGAACAATTTACTGATTTTACAGATGTGCCTTATTTTGTAAAAAATTACACATCATAACTAGTAAAAGCACAGGAAAAAATATTAATTTAGATTTTTACACTTAATAAAATGTCCAAAACTGTTAATAATGTCCACATTAAAGAAAAAATAAATCAGTATAATTTCCAAACATGAATGTGTTCTTTTGCAATGTTTGACCATAAATTACTTAATTTAGAAATATTTAAATTGGGAAAAAACATAGTTGTTTTGCAGATATTTGCTGTAATTTGACAAAAAATTTTTTAAAATGATCTATATTGAGAATTGAAAAATGCTAAATATTTTTTACCTGTTCATTTTTCAAATATTCCTTGTTTTGGTAAATTACAGATAATAAAAAACAAAACCATAAATAGGCATTAATTTACACATTAACCCATAAAAACAGGCCAAAAGTGTAAATAATGTCACATTAAAACTGTATATTTTTGCAAATACTAATTTGCTCTTTGACCAATAAAAATCACAATATTATCAGAGAAAATATAATTTTAAAAATCTGTATATTAAGAAGTATAATATTTACGATTATTGCACTATTTAGTAAAAAAAAAAAAAAACATCAAAATGACTCAGCTGCGACCAACAACCACGTGACAAGAATTCAGTGAATATTCGGTTGAACTGCAGGCTGTGTTTCTGATCACACTGGGCCTTTGAGTGGATAAAAAGCTTATTTAGTGCTTTTTGGTGCACAGCTGATTGAAGATTTATTTTGTGCAATCCTATTGTAGATTGTATTAAAGCATCTAAATCCCAAAATTCAAGTTTAAAAGGCATGCTCGCCTTTTTTTTTCTTTTTTTAATGCCAAATGACACCATCTATAAAGCCAGATCTTTGAACCAAACAAATCAAAGCTAAAAATTATGGTATTTCCTCAAAATCACTTTATTCTACATGTCTCACTTTAAAAAGTGCCAGAAAATAAACAGATTACACCGAACACATCGTGTAAAAAGCAAAAAAAATTCTGCTCGGTGCAACTAAGAATCCATGACGGGCTCTTTTTTTTTGGCTGAACTGCAGGAAGTGTTTAGAGTCTCAAAAACAAATTAGAGCGACTGACAGAAAAATCATCCATCTAACCATCCATCCATTATCTATATACCGCTTCATCCTCACTAGGGTCGTGGGAGGCTGGAGTCTATCCCAGCTGACTCAGGGTGAAGGCAGGGGACACCCTGGACAGGTCACCAGTCTATCAAGAGACAGACAACCAAGCACACTCACATTCACACCTACGGACAATTTAGAATCACCAATTAACCTCAACATGTTTTTGGACTGTGTGGGAGGAAGCCGGAGAACCCGGAGAGAACCCACGCTGCACGGGGAGAACATGGAGACTCCACGCAGACAGATCCCAGGTGTCCTCACCGGGACGTGACCTTCTAGCTGCGAGGCAACGATGCTAACCACAGAGCAGCCCGAAATAAAACCTGCCTGACTAAAAAAAATAAATGCAGCATGGCTCAGAAATGGCGAACAGAGGAGCACGTTGTTGGAAGATACATCCAGCACGGCGAAACATCTTCCTGATGTGAAACACTACATGTGAACCCACCTTTTTTTCCCAGCGTTACTTCTGGACACTTTCAACTTTGTTTTTATTTCTTAATGATTTCTGTCATTCTGTGTCGTCCTGAAGACGTTTTCTCTCCTTCTTCATGGTTGTTCTGTTTCTTATAAGACTTTATATTGCAGTGAAAAATGTGCAAATCTGTTTGGAGTTCAGAGGGTTAATGTGTTTGTGTCGCCTCCAGTGGTCACTGTCAGACACTGCATCCATCACATGGTGCTGACAGTTTCCCAGATCAGATCGACAGCAGACCCACCGTACGCTCGCCGTCGTCTCCAGACGAAATTCATTACCCCGCAAACCAAATTGATCCCCGTGATGCCTGAAATGATGCGCATGAAGCGTCGCGTTTACTGTCCTTCACGCCGTCCTGCTGACATCATCATTTAGCACCACGGCATCCGGCCGGCCTCGGGATCGATGGCCCTGATTGGAGTATATTCACGCATCCGTCCGACACGTCAATCAGCCGATTGATCCGTCCTGAAAATTGGGCTCATTTGCCAGCCGCCCCGTCCGTCAGGAGAAAGAGCTTTATCGATCAGGTGATTAGAGCGAGCGTATGGGGAGGGGTCGACGTCACGGCAGCCAGTCAGCAAAAACCTGTTTGTGTTGAGAGCGTGCTGATAAATATGTGAACACGAGGCCCATCGACACGCATCAGGCTCATTGTGAACGTGCTTTAGCCTTAGAAATGTACCTGCACAACAAGTATGAAGCGATTGTTGGACATTGTTGGATATTTTACACCCAGCTGTATATTATTGTTGTAAAACATTTATTCGAATAAATAAATGAAGTGCATTTTAAACCGAGGCGTTATTAATAGAGGCGCCGGCGGCTGAAGTCGACGCGGAGTTCACGGCGATGTAACGGAGCGCCACGGCAAATCTGTTGGCTTTTTTTTTTTTTTCCTTCCCTCTTTTGTAGCCGCAGAGCCATTGACCTGAGTGTGAAATCAATTACGGACACACACATTTGTAGTAAACAAAAACTGACAAACACACATGCTCTTGCAAAACCCCCACGGTGTGTGTAGCTAAATCCTCGCGTGCACACAAAATAGCTGCTGCGCCCGAGCCCGTTGGTGAGACGCGTCTTTGCCAGTAAACACCAGTTTGTGTGTCGGTTTGCGTCACTCCCTTTGCAGAGCGTGTGTGTGTGTGTGTGTGCAACCATGTGTGCATCTGTGTGTGAGACAGACTTTTTTTTTTTTTCTTGTTCAGGGATTACCAGGTTGCCATGGTGATTAGTTAGAGTGAGGTAGGGCCATCTCTGCAGGGAGCGACGAGGAGGGAGGAGGCTGCGATGCAAAAAGAGCTGTGAATAAACGGCAGCCATAGTAGCGGCGTAGGGCCCCGGCAGAACCGCTCCGACGTGGTGTGTGAACGGAGCAAGGCCGAACACGAAGTGATTTCACAGTCGGCACGAGTCGCTTCTTTCGCGACGCTTTAACCTCCGCAAAGGGTCAGAGTGCAGCGCCGCCTCACAGCGAATACCCGTCTTCCTCAGAGACACTCGGGGCCCGGCAGACGCTCGCTCCCGAACCTTTCCGGGTTGGCGACTAATCTTGGCCGCCCCGCAACCCGGAGTGTCACAAATGGCGATGTTACACAACAGCAGACACCGCTAACTATCAGGCCTCCTTCCATCCGTGTGATCCGCCGTGGTTTAGTCCTCTGCGCTCCCTTAATTAAATCACAAACTAGGTCAAAACAAACAAGAGGCCCGCGGTGCCGGACACATGATTCTTGCTGTGCTTGTCGGCCTGGTTTTTTTGGAGGGGGGATTGCATCATTTTAAACTTTGAGTCGAGTTCTTGCTTTTTTTTTTCCCTCCACATGAGTCTTCTCTTGTAAAAAACTACCTACAGTTCAGTTCAGTTTCTTTATTACCAACATCCCAGGACACAAGATCAGACCTTTCAATCTCATATTGTACCCAACAAACCAAACAAAGCTCATGTGAACCGGAAGAAACCTCCAGCAGAACCAGGCTCAGGGAGAACAGACGTCTGCCTCGACCAGTCAGGGTTGAGTATGGAGGGAAAAGGATGGCAGACGGACAACGCACAAGAGAACAATACTTCAACCTAAAACGCTGATGATTGTATTTCAAAATTGCATAAACACACCCACAGAGTCCGATCTGACCCACGACACCAGGCTCAACATCGGGAAAATGTACCACTGAATGGCTACTTTTTAAAAATCGTGTGGTAGACCTCCACACATCAGAATCAGAGTCTGTTGTTCCAACACTTGAACGGACATCATGAAACGACCGACTGCACTGGAAACGAGGACGTGCAGATGGAGAGTGGGCTGTCGATGCCGCCTGTGAAATGTGGTTCCACTCCTCCTGAAGTTCGTGGACATTCATTGGGACGGGATCAAGTTGTCGTTCATCCTGAATGTCTTACAGATGTGGTGACGTGTCTGCAGGTCGTGGTGGGACTTAGCCGCTAGAGAAAAGCAGTGCAGACTCTGGAGACATCAGATTGTATTGTAATGTTGAAACACTGAGCAATGGTGGCGAATAAATGGCGTCACTAACAAGATTTCATCTGGAAGTTGTGAAATATTGGTGCATCTCTTCTGTCTCCTCGGGCCGCTCTCTATACGATATTAGCGTTAGCTTGTATGATGCCAAATACGACATGTGCCGTCTGTTCCACATGGCTGAAAACCAGATCCATCGGTGAAAAGGAGCAAACTGCAGCAGATTATGACACCATTCTGCCATTAGATCGAGGCCTTGGCGAGGAGCATGTTCCCTCAGGAGAGTCCTCACAGTTCAACTTCATCAACACCTTCATCAACGTCATGGTCCTGGGCTCAGCAGTGAGCTTTAGGCTGGTTTTAGACAAGTTTTCAGCGGGTTTCGAAGTGTTGGGGAGGTTGGTCCAACTTCATCAGTGTGTCAGTAGCTAATTGTAAATAAAATCTTGAGACAGACGAGTCAGATGTGATAATAATTGAAGAGTTTAGGACTAATTTAACCTGGTTTTGGACTAATTGTAGGCAGGTGTTAGGCTAATGTTACAATAATTTTAGGCTGGTTTTGAACACATTTTAGGCTTGTTTGCGACCAGTTTTTGAGACTAGTTTTTTGTTTGTTTGATGTTGTTTTTTTTACGATGGTTTAAGACTGATTTTAGGCTAATTTTATGCCGGGAATAAAACTAGCCCAAAACAGCCTAAAATCAGTTTTAGCCTCATTTTTGACCAGTGTTGGACTAGTTTTAGGCTGGATTTAGACTGGTTTTAAGGTGATTTTAGCCTCCTTCTAGACCTATTTTGGACTGATTTTGGCCTAGTTTCAGACTGGTTTTACCCTAGGTTTGGACTAATT